ACCCGTGCATTTATTACTACCCTTTCTAGCCGGGAAGACCTTAAAGTGGAATCGGAGCCTACGCCAGCTAGAACGCCTATAGCCCTAGAAAACAGCCAACGACCGGATTTTTCAGTGCTTATAGGTACTTCTAGGCACTATTACGACGTTCAAATAGTAGCAATCAACAAGGATTCAGCACGCGAAGAAGCCTATGCTACGCTATCAGAGGCAGCAAACGCTAAACGGCTTAAATACAGCGACTTAGGCCCTGTATTTCACCCCCTGATCTTCTCGGCAGGAGGCCTAATGGAAGCCGAAACAGCGAAGACCTATAAGGCCCTACAGGGCCTATTAGGGCACTCTAGGGCTAAGTGGTTAGACGGGTATATCGCTAGCACCCTAACTCAGGCTCGAGGAATCGCTGCAACCTCGATCCTAGCACGTAGGTAGCTTATAACACACGCTATACCTACCCTACAGCACACACTACACCTACCCTATAACACACACTACACCTACCCTACGGCACACACGACACCTACCCTACGGCACACACTTCACCTACCCTACGGCACACACTTCACCTACCCTAAGTAACTCACACTTCACCTACCCTGTGATACACACTTAGTCTACCCTATAGTACACACTCTACCGACCCTGCGACTCACACTCTACCTACCCTTTGGTACACACTCTACCTACCCTATGGTACGCACTCTACCTACCCTGCGACTCACACTACACCTACCCTGTGGTACACACTCTACCTACCCTGCGACTCACACTACACCTACCCTTTGGTACACACTTTACCTACCCTTTGGCACACACTCTACCTACCCTTTGGTACACACTACGCCTACCCTCTGATACACTCTTTACTTACCCTTTGGTACACACTCCACTTACCCTGTATTATCTCCTTCTATCTTAGTACTCTACCTTCTGTACCCCTGACACCTTCAGGCTCTTACCCTCTGTATTATTAGTATAGTCCTTCTGTATTTCAAGACTATTAGAGAGAGATAAAAACACTCGTCGCAAGCTAGCGTAGTTAGAAACAAATATAACCCAAACCTCAAACCCTAACCCTAACCCTCCACTTACCCTGTATTATCTCCTTCTGTCTTAGTACTCTACCTTCTGTACCCCTGACACCTTCAGGCTCTTACCCTCTGTATTATTAGTATAGTCCTTCTGTATTTCAAGACTATTAGAGAGAGATAAAAACACTCGTCGCAAGCTAGCGTAGTTAGAAACAAATATAACCCAAACCTCAAACCCTAACCCTAACCCCTACCCCTAAGTCCTCTAATTTTCCTAGTATTATTAGTCTCGTTCTTTTTCTAACTAACAGTGTTTCTTCTAGTCCTCTCGCTTTATTATATAATATCTTTAAGAAGAAGGAGATAAGTATTAAGATTTAGTAGATAATATGTTTATAAGGGCGGATTCTCCTATATCCCCTACTATCTGAACTATTATTTAGTAGGAGGAGGGTCTTAGAGTGTTCTCTGTATCTATAGCTACTTAATATCGGAATATATCTTATTAGTTAGTTACTTATATCTACGATAAGTCTAATAGTCGTAGAGTATCCCGGGAGAGAGGAATTAAATAAGGGAGGATTATAGGGATATCCTTATTATATAGCTAAATAAGATAATAGTCTTTTATATTTAACTAAATATCGAAGTAAGCTATCTAAGTCTGTCCTAAAATAATCTCGTGATTCTTGAGATCTAAGAGAATAAATAGGATCTCCTTCTGAACGCGTTAGTTAATTAGAATATTTAGAAGGATCGCGTGAGAGGCGATGTTATTAGCTTATCTATTATAGCCTTTTACTTATATAAAGTTAGGTAGAGAGGTAAGTTTTATACTGAATTTCCTTATAAGGTCTTTAGTAAGGCGAGTATTAATAAAAGTGAAACCGCTTACTTTAGAGTTAGAAAGTATAAGTAATATAATTCTAATACTATTATAAAATAGTATATAAGGGATAGTGAAACTTTTACTACTTATTAATTAATATATATTAATCTCCTTAAGATTAAGTGTCTACCTTAAGAAGGAGTCTTCTCTTAAGGTTCCGGGTTTTCCGGGTCTAAGGGAATTTCCTCTGAGTTATTAACCTCCTTATTAAAGAAGAGACTAGTGCCGAAGTACTTCTCTAGTACCTTAACTTCTATAACTATTATTATACGAGGCTCCGGGTAATTTTTAGTAATATAGCCTATTTTCTTATAGTTATAGCACGTAATTACTTTAGGAGAAGGGAGGATCGCCTTTAGAGTAGCTACTACTAGAGTCAGAGTAGTAAGGATAAGAACGCTATTAGAGAGCGGAAAAATAACTAGGCCTCTTTTTAAGAAAGTAGAAGTTAAGGGGCGAACTACTAGTGTAAAGGCTCGAGTAGTTATTATAATCTACTAATGTTATTCCTAAGTTTAGTGTACTTCCTTATCTAAGAAATCTACTATAGAGATAAAGTCCTAGAAACTTCTATTAAGAGTAAACTTATAGACTACTTAATCCTTAAAAGCCGGGTATAAGAAGTTATAAAAGCGAGTAATAAGGCTCCTAGTAAATAGGATATAGGTATCCTAAATAAGCTTTAAGAACTTTAGGTAGTACTTAGTAAATAACTTACTAGCTGCTATTTAGAGCTTATTTAAGGCTGTCTTAGTATCTTATTACTTAAAGGCGTTGCTATAGATACTACTAAGGTAGCTAAGTATTTCCTTAGTATTCGTGAAAGGGTCTATAGTACTAACTTTAAAGTGAGGGAGTAAGTAACTCTAGGCGTCGCTCTTAGTGTAGTTATATACTATAGCTCGTCGGGCCTTCTTACTTAGGTAGTAATCGGTATTAATATCTAGCTTACTTATTATAAAGGCGGACTAAGTATACTATTCTAAGCTGTTAAGGGTGCCGAAGAACTTTTCAATATATAGTTTAGGTGAGAGTCTCTTATAGTGTTTTCAGCGAGTAGGGGCAAGCTCTACTAGTACTTAAGGGGCGTTATCTTAATTATCTCCGAACGATCTACTATTATTAGAGTTATTACTATCCCCTGGGTTAGGAGCTTACTATTAGGAGCTTAATAACTTAGACTTCTTAGACTTGGAAGTTAAGTTCTTAAGTATCTCTAGTATCTTATAAAAGCTTTTATCTTACTCTTTCTAGTACTTAGCTAATCTTTGAAGTTCCTTAGAGTTCTTTGTAACTCTAATTATTAGTACGGGAGTAGTATATTCCTCTTAAGAGTAGTCCTGTTAGTCCTAGGGATTATTCTCCTTAGGAGATATAGTATTACTACGAGAGGTTAGGAGGATAACGTTATTCTTCTCTTTACTATTATATTTATAAGAGGTAATATATAAGGGAGAAGAGGTTAAAGGCGGATTTCTTTCCCTTAGTATTAGTAAAGTAGTAGGTTTAATAGTAGGAGGAATACTATATTATATTCTATTACTTTTCTAGAAAGGATTAAGACTACTTATAAGGAAGTATAAATATAAAAGTAAAAAGTGAGAGGTAGTACTTAAGTTATAAATATGACTTGGTTACACTTAGAAGGTACTTAAGGAAATAATAAGGTACGAGAGATGAAGTAGAAAAGAAAGAGCTGAAGATATAACTTAATTACACTTAAAAGGTACTCGAGGAATTCAGTGAAAGTAGATATTAGGACCTTTATAAGTAAGGTTAGTCTTTTCTAATATAATAGTATAACGAAGGTTTATTAGTAGCTATAATATAAAGTAGAAAAGATAACGAGAGGAAGAGGTTCCTAAGGAGCCTTAAGAATAAGTAGGGAGGATATAGCTACTAGTAAACTAAGCTAGTCCTAGGTTCGTTATATAACTCTAGCCTCGTAGCCTTACGACGTTAGCCTTACTCACGTGACTCGCCTATCGTGATTAGTCTATTACATTTACCTGATTTCTAAGTAAATTCCTTTAAGTAAAATATTTTTATAAAAAATTAGTTTATAAAGGGATTTAAGGCTAATAACTTATAAACTAGGTCTATTACGTCTAATAAGCTTATAACAGCTAAAATCTACTAAAAGTATTAAAGGATACTAAAACGCGCCCTGATTCCACCTGATTTTTACTAGGTAAATCTCTCCAAGTAAAATCATATATATAAAAAATTAGTTTATAAAGGGATTTAAGGCTAGTAACTTGTAAAGTAAGTCTATGAGTCTTAATAAGCTTATAATAGCTGAAATCTACTAAAAGTATTAGAGGATCCTAAAATACGCTCTAATTCCACCTAGTTACTAAGTAAATAAGATACTTAAAAAAAGTAAACTATTAATAAAGGGATTTAGAGCTAGTAACTTACAGTCTAAGTCTATTAAGTCTTATAAGCGTACTATAACAAAAAAAACTTAATTTTATAAGAGGATACTAAAACGCGCCCTAATTCCACTTAGTACTTAGAAAAATCACCCTAAGGTAGAAAAACTCTTCACGATTAACTTATCTTAAGTAAACCGCCCCCGATTTTAGTGATCTTTATAGCGTTTAATTTGTCAGATAATTCTCTATAATATAGTATTATTAAAAGTACGCTAGCGTTATGTTTTAAATTTTATTTTTTTTCGTAAGGGCTAAGCCTCGGCACGCCCTGATTCCACCCCCTTGCTCGTATTTCCCGCGTTAACTTCCCCCGTGTGTATCATAGCGCGCCTCTTATAGAAACTTATAAGAATTAGCGCGTTTAAGATCCCGAAGCGCGGGGATACGATTAGTTAAAAAATTATAAAAATCAGTCTAGTAACACGCTAGCAATCGCCCGGGCGCGTGCTGATTCCGCCGCGCGGGCGCCGCGCCCTGATTCCACTGCGTGCCCCTTTGGGCTACCTGATCAGTTTTCCCTTACTTAAATCATCTGATTTGCTCGTTTCAAGTAATAAATTCGTCGGTTGGACAGAGTATACATTTTCTAGAAGGCTTCAATGATACTACTATAAGCTCAGTTGCTTCCATATCAAGACGACTCTACTCATCATCCTCCGCATCAATCTCCGCCTCCTCCTCCGGACTCAAGTCCTCATTATCACCAGCGTGAGCAGCATCACTCTCTGCCTGAAGTTGGGCTGCCTCAGCTTGAAGATCTCTCTTCTCACCATCTTCAGCATCAATTTCAGCCTCTTCCTCAGGGCTCAGGTCCTCTGCGTCTCCAGCATGAGCGGCGTCGCTTTGAGCTTGGAGTTCTGCCACCTCTGATTGCAAGTCCCGCTTTTCTGCATCTTCTGCGTCGATTTCTGCCTCTTTCTCGGGTGTCAAATCCTCAGCGTCTCCTGCATAGGCTGCATCACTTTGAGCCTGGAGCTCCGCGGCATCCGATTGAAGGTCTCGCTTTGCAGCATCCTCCTCCGCGACCTCTTCGTCTATTTCCTCTTCGTCCTCCGCTGTCAAGTCTCTCTTTTCAGCATCCTCCGCATCGATTTCGGCTTCCTCCTCTGGTGTGAGATCTTCGGCATCGCCAGCATGAACAGCATCGGATTGGGCTTGCAGAGCTGCAGCATCGGCTTGAAGATCACGCATAACGTTGCCGGCTACGATAGATGCAAGGTTCGTTCGGCCGGAGAGCATCTGAAGACCCCTTCCAACCGTACCCATAGCTGCCTTGACATCTTCTGTCATCTGAATGGGCGCGGCATGGAGGGTGGTAGTGAATGCGACCAGCGCAATAGAAATGACGGATTGAGTACGCATGATGGATGATAGACGACACTAATGATTATGTGAGTGTAGTGTTCTGCTTTGGAAAGTTTGAAGAAGCTGTAGAACTGGCAGAATGTGGTATTATATTCATCTGGGTGCTGCTGCCACGTTGAGGTGTGGTTCCTTATCAAACCTCGGATGTTCAAGAAAGTTTCCTTATTGCATCGAAAACGCTTTAGCTTATCTGGAACATTGATGACTTCCAATGAAGAATGAAGTTTACACACGGATACACTCGATCCGCGCAGTGGCTCCATGCGAGAAACAGACGTTCTGATCAGACGAAATCATTTCCTCGTCATCCGCCGTCATATAAGCTTGTCTGGAATAGATGGGCTCCGGTTGAAAAACTTTCTCAATCACACACCCGGAAGATGCGTAATACGGTGCGATCTCTTGAATCAAGTGGGTTCACACTCCAACGACGGATGTTCCATGATGATTGTTTCTTGCTAAGGTGCAGTTCGGGTGACCAAGGTTTCCAAGGCTCGGGAGATGCTCCATACCCGCAATATCCGTGCGCTACCTTTTTGGGGAGATTCGCCTAGCGATTGGCCAAGCGAGAAACAACATCTGTTTCGTTTATGAATCGACCGTTCCAGCTCTCAGTTCAGCTTCTTGTGACGATCGTTGCAGGTAGGTGGAACCTCGACGGAAGCTGATGCAAGCGTGGAGAGACTTGCTGAGTCTACCGACCATCGATTTGTGTCTATCATACCTGGCAAGTCTGGGTACTTTCGATGAGGGCTGAATACAGATGCTGGAGTCGGAAGATGCTTGCCGTGAAGAGCTTGCGTCACCTTGCCACGATGCCTCCAGAGTCCCCCAGATAATGGACCTTACTACAATAACCAAGACAGAGTATTTGATCCTTCGAGGTTAAGGGCTTGTACAGCAAGAAAACCAGAGCTCAGCTAATTGGTCGGCAGCTTTGTCGTGATTACCTCAGCATTCTCAGCAACAAAATCAGCTAACGGGCGTGCATAGCTAGGCAACAACATCGCTGAGAAGTGAAAGATTATGACTTCATCGAACACGAAAAGGTATGCCGAGCTGCTGGCTCAAGCAAGAAGGTTATAATGGGTCAATCGTCAGCATTGCTTGGCCGGATTCTGCTGTATAAAGGAAATCCGGCGCCATATCTTGGAGAATCCCCATACTAATACAACACATTGATAAATTGAAAGCGCAACAAGACTCGCTTGCATGCTCTGGCGAACAATATCCAAATGTCGTTAAAAGACTCCCCTGCTGCGCCCGGTAGCTTGAGACCGGCTCCAGTATCCTCCTATCCGGAAACCCGCGTCTATCATTTGGATAACCTCCGAACCTTCCTTACGAGCTTGGTAATTCTACACCATGTTTCCATCCCATATGGCGGTATCGGCTCGTGGCCTTATCATTCCCAATTCCACGCACCTGGCTCGTCTCCAAGTCTCGTGGTCTTCAATGCCGTAAATCAGAGCTTCTTCATGGGAACTTTCTTCTACATGTCTGGTATGATGTCGTCGATGTCTCTTCCCCGGCGAAGAACGGTAGCTTTCCTGCAGACGAAATGGATGAAGCTTGGCATTCCGGTTCTTGTTTATACTCTTTTGGGTCCGCCACTTTGCACGTCGCTGCAGAGACTATTGGACGGAGAAGCTCTCACATCGAGGATTTTGAGGGATCACCTTCAGGAATTACGAGGAGTGAAGGGCCCCGTGTGGTATCCGGCTGTGTTACTAGTTTTCGATACCCTATACACAATCATACCAAGAATTCCAAGGCTTCCGTTTGGTGTGACCATGGTAGTGAATTTGGCCTCTGCATTTCTAGTACGGCTTTAGTATCCCACTGGAACGGCAGTGGCTCCATTGAATTTGCAACTCGGATATCTACCGCAATATATCATCTTATATATCGTGGGCACGCGGTCACCGAATACAACTCTAGACACGCTTTCAATCATCACTCCTGTGCAGAAGAGACTTCTGCTCTGTTTGTCTGTAGCCTCGGGATTGTCAATCATGACCCTGCTTCCTCGGCATTCTCTGAATTCAATGAACGGTGGTTGGAATTGGCTTGCATTCTCATATGCTGTATGGAATGAAACAACGGGATTGTGGATTGGAAGCACATTGATGGATATATTCAAAGGAAATTCATGGGGGACAAAGAAGTGGGGAAATTTTGGGAGATATTCATACGGTGCATTCTTGGTTCATCAACCCGTATGCGTTGCTGTTCAGTGTATCACGGATAAGTGGCCAACGAGTGGGATAGTTAAGTCCATTGTAATTGGAGTACCGACAATTGCAACAAGCTGGGTCGCGGGATGGGCTTTGTCATTGTTGCCAGGGGTCAACAAGATTATCGTGTGAAATTAGCAGGTACATCTAGCACCTGTATGTCTTGGGAAGTGGTATCATTTAGACTTCAATACAACTTTCGACAATTATCTAATCAACCCTTGGCCTCAATCCAACATTATAAAACCCCTGGACAAACCATGGAACTGTATGAACACGCTGCTCGTGTGATTGCCCAGGAATCAAGCTCATCTCATATTTCTGCAGAATTGTCGAAAGGACGATTCGCATCTCCTTCAGCGCGAATTGCTGTCCAGGACAATTCCTCGATCCAGCTGAGAAAGGTACGAACGCCTTTCGATCAGCTTCGACTCCTTTGTACTTTCCAAGCCATCTTTCGGGTACATACGATTCAGGATCTGGCCAGATGCGAGGATCTTTCATGAGGGGGCCAATGGCTGGAGATACGGTGGTCTGAGCAATCAGCACTGGTCGGAACAGGAGCCTTTTTACACTTACTTCCGGAGGAATCTCGTAATTTGCCAGTACTGTAGTCTCTTTTGTGTATCGCGCAAGACCTGGACAGTCAGTTTCCGTCAGTAAGAAAGGCAGGGATGCCACGTACCAACAGCCACTATCGGAAGGACTCTCATGCTCTCATGAATGCACGCGTTCAAATAAGGCAGGTCTTGGGTTTTGGCAAAGGTTATCAAATCATCTATGGACGGAAAAGCAGTGTCAATCTCCGAAATCAGCTTCTCCAATTTGTCAGGGTTGTTGAGAAGGAGTAGGCAGGTATGCGTGAGGGTAACAGCCGACGTATCGCTTCCAGCAATCATGAACAGTGCCATCTCTTCTCGGATGTGTCGATGAGTGAACGCCACCGGGTCAGCTTCATGGCTTTCGATAAAAATTTGAACGAGATCTCTCTTGACAGGTCCTTTTTCCGCTCGACGTTTCGAAATAATGTCGTCGATCATGTTGTTGAACTCGTCGGACTGAGATGGAGGTACGAATGGCAGATACTTGAAAAAGGGGAACTGAGAATCGATTGCAGCGCGTTTCAAGCGGTCATGGAACATATTTTTCAGCTTCTTGTCGTTTGAGGGGACAAGATTGAATGAACCTCCAAATGACGTGGCAGACATTATGTCCTGATAGTTCTGTTAGCTAAGTAGATGTCCTTGTACAAATCTACAACTTACAAAAGACAAATTCCCCATCATGTTCGACATGTCCACTACAGTGTATCCATTACCCTTTGCGCATTCGTTTTCTAGCCAGTCTTCAAACACCTTGACGCATTCTTTGACAATTGGTTCCAGGGCATTCAGATAGCTGATTGAGAATCCAGGCGACAGGAGTCGTCTCTGTAAAATAGCGGTAAGCCAAAATCACTGTGTTCCGATATTGAAAAGCCTACTTTCTGCCTGTAAGCAACCTTGTTCGTCTCAGTAATAAGGCTCGTAATGTGAGAATCTGGGCGAATCGCTTCATAGATCGGGGACTTGATCAAATCGTCCTCGACCAGGATTCTCTGCATCGCAGCTTTATCTCTGAACTGAATATCCTTTGGACCTATCCAAGTCTCGGTTTAGTCTCGAATAGATGTTACAAGCTTACGTACCGACGCGAACGACATCTCCATACTTGTCAAAGAGGCTATGTATAGAATTCATGCTGTTTCCAGTAATGTTCTCGATCATCCATGGTACAGACGTGACGCTCCATAGCTTCGGTCCAGGGATCTTTGACAGCGGGCCAGTGAAAGCTAATTTCAGAGCAAGGACTAGCCTTCGAAGTAAGTCTGCAGCTACAAACCACAACAGCAGCGAGACATATGTATTCATGTTGGAAAACTCTTTCGGTAGGCGCAGATTGGAATGATGGATGAATAAGAGGACAAAGAAGAAACTTTTTAAGCATGCAGAGTGTCCGAGACATTAGTTCTGGACTTGTGGTGCGGCTGAGGAAACTTAAGGTAGTGTAGGCGACCCGTGCTAGGAAGTAAGCAGTAGTCGGGTTGGCTTTGATTGGACATGTCGTATTAGTCTTATGATGGAACCTTGTAATCTTACTCTTGGAATCGGGTCTAAATGGTGGGTTAAAGCTAGTCAGATAAGATATAGCTTTCAAGGAACTTGAAACTTTGATGTGTGACCAAAGAAGTGATCAGTCTGAGTGATATGTGATATCCGCTTGCGGATGCTGCGGTGGCATCTCACGTGGACTTGGGGATTTTAGTGCTAGCGAAGTTCATTCCGCGTGCGTGCGAATCCCCAAATGCGGAAGTTATAGGGTACTCTAATTACTATCACAGTTCTACTTTACACAATAACCCCCCGTTTACAATACCTAAACACCTTTTCAACCCCAGTTGCAGATGAATTTATTCATTAAACATCAAGCTGAGTAGTATGTCTGATTCTGATGAACAGGTCTCCGCAAACTTCTTCCAAGACTAGAGTACGTTGGAGTGGGTGATGTCTGAGATCCGTATACAGACTGCGAGTTGTCGGTCCCGAATGTGTCGTTGCCTGCGTTGGAGGACGGGTGCGGGGACTGCGAGGGTGAGACGTGGTGCGGTGGCAGTGAGTAAAGACTTGCGTCCTGGACCTGGACCATGGTCATCTTTGGATCGGCTCGGCGGAGCTGATAATTGTTGTCAGACAGTTCTGCTGGCGGGGAATTTGCCGCCAACTGGTAATGTTGAGCCTGGATGTGTGGCCTAAGCAAGGGAAGTCAGCAATCGTCTCCGCAGGGATGTAACGAGAACATGATGCGACATGATAGCGGAATATGTTGAATCAATTGAGAAAGAAAATCTTTGGACTCATTACTTACTGTTCTTGGTCGAAGTATGGTGATTGAGGCGTGTGAGGGCCAAATTGTGTTTGCGAGTAGCTTGGAGCTGGATTATATGTCACTTGTGGTACGTCCACGGAGCCTCTCCTCGCTGCACTCAGAGTCTTTTGTTTCCTTTGTCTCCAAAAGAAGCAGCATCCAGCTAACAGTAAACCAATGAGAACAACAGCACTTCCAACGGCGATGCCAACAATAGCACCAGTTGAGAGTTTGGCTGACGAGGTGTCTGCTGGAGCCGATGTAGAACCCGGTACGGCTCTCGTGGGAGATCGAACTGCAACCGATGCCTTCTGCGCGAAGTACACTCCCAAATCACCGTTGTCAAACCCAGCTGCCGGTGCAGTAGCAGTGGCACCTCCCAAGGATCTACGGAAAATTAGCGAGATAGCTTTTCGTGATGCAGCGAGCATACTCACGAGCCACCAACAACGGATATAACTTCTGGAGGAACCACATATGAGGTAATATTGAGAGAATAATCATTCCACATCTTGCCACTGACTTTGCCGAGATCCAGGTTATGAGTTCCCCAAGTGACGGGGCTGTCACATTCATCATTCAAAGGAAAGCTTCCTCCAATGATGAGCATTTGGCCACCACCGACGACATTACAAGATAGGGAGTGGTGTGGTTTTCCACCGTCGGAGCTTTCCCACCATCGAATCCATTTAAAAGATGGCATGGTCAAGATATAGACATCGTCAAATCCGGTTTCATTGGCACCAAATCCCTTTCCTCCATATAAGTAACTAGATCTCATCAGTATTTTCCAGTACCTCAACTTCTTCAACGTACATATTGTAGGATGATTGGTCCGGAGCCCAAACTACACCGGCACAGAACTTCCGCCTGGACAGCGGCGTATCCCCTACAGCAGTCTGGGTGTACCACTTCGAGCTTCGGATATCGTAGATATGGATCAAGGACATTGGAGCCGGGATTGCTGTGTCGTTGTTCAAAGGTGCCGTGACCCCGCCGAAGTAAACAAGAAGTCCATCGTCGCTTGCCGGCACATACACCATAACACCCTCCGCCCTGGGGATTGAATCCACAGGTCCTGTGCTGTTTGTCCAAGCGTTACTGTTCATATCGTATTTGATCAACGAGTTGGTCGCCAAGGGACTTCCAGACCAAGAGGGCACCGAATTGTTGCTTAGCCATCCCCCAAGTATATATCCTTGTCCCAGTTCAGAAATTGCTACCCCGCCTCCATAAGAGACGCTTTGTATTCCATTGCTAGGTGCTCCTAATGAATGCCAATTGTCTTCCAGCACGTCGTACGATATGAGATTCGGGGCGTTTGGAGAGATATTCGAATATTCCCCTCCGTAAAGGTAGAATCGCTTGTTGACGTCGTCTTGCCATAATATCCCACCACTGACGCTGGGAATTGATTGGTTCTTGCTCAAATTCGCATACAACTGGGGCACTTCTATAGAAGGGGGACTGCTGTCGAGGTCCTGAAAAGAAAGCCATGAATCTAAATGTCGCAGTGTCAGCCTCTATCATTGTTTGTCTGTAACCACAAAATGATTAAAACTTACTTGTATAATTGTTCCTATTCTGAGAGATGGGATTCCAGTCGACAAGTCCCCCATCAATGTATAGCCACCTATCAATAACTGCCGTCTGATGCCCAAACCTTCGACAGAAATCCTTCACGGGATCTTTTTGTTGAAGCGAAAGATTCGCAAACAAGCACAGAAATCCCAGGAGTTTCAACATATTGCCCGTTGGACTTATTCCAACTCTAGCTTTTTTCCTCGTGAATTTCCGACGCTCAAAACGCGGTGAAGCCGCCAGATCAGCTGAGTCTAGCAAACATCTGCTGAAGCTGTCTTCAGGCGCACTGGACTTCAACCAAAACTCAAAATGGCATCGATACCGTAATACTTGGGGGTAGACAGACGTCGCGAATGAATGCCAAGCTTACTTCATAAGAGGAGAAAGAATGGAGAAACAATCAAGTCGGCGGAGGGGTGATATCACCATGTCTACTGGTAGCACCACCACCGGAATCTTGGGCTGACAAGCACATGGTTCCTTCGATCTGGGCAGGCAGAACCATCTCCCGAGTCGACAACATTCTAGGTTCTAGCTACCAGACCTGAGTACCGTGGCTATATTTGCGAAAAATCACTGGACGAGTACAAGGAGTCTCGCATGCAGTGGCACTACGGTTGGCGAATAGAAATGCTGAGCCGAGGCGCAGCTGAAGGATGGTTACATGGCAGAAGCCGTGGATGGCTTTCAGCTGAGGAACGAGAAGTTGTAAGGACTTTGAAAATCGGAGGAATTGCCTATGGTTTCTCGGTACTTGGTACAAGAGTGGAATCGCACCATTGGATCATGGGAGCGAGAAAGCTTGTTTGGGCGGGGTTAGGTATCCACTACGGGAAGCCAAATGAATTACTTATGCGGAACGTCTACCTTAATATTTCTGAATAATCTTTTTATTTATTCTGTCTTAATCTTTACTTTATTTAGGTACTATATATTTATTAAAAAGCACTATTATCTAATAGATTTCCTACTATAATTACTATAATTAATTAGATATATAATTAATAATAAAATAATATAAGTAAGTAAGTTAGGCGGCTTAAGAGCCTGAAGTAAAGTAGCTTAGCTAGTTCTAGCCCTTATAAAATTCATGTTATTAACTCCCCTTTTTTACTATAAACTTACCTTTAATCTTAATTTTAAATATAGTAAAAAATTAATTATATTTTAGATATTACTTTTACTGCTTAGACATGTTATTATAAGACTTAAAGGTAGAGAAATAAATAGGTCAAAATACAATATAGGACGTTCCGCATAAGTGATTCATTTGGCTTCTCGTAATCCACTAATCCTATTGCAGAGGCACAGCGTTGCAGACTGGCTGTCAACGCCTCGACCCTTCGTCCCCTCTTCTACGAAGTCCGAGGATGCTTCCGGAGTGGTTCAAGTGGGAACGAAGATCGGGAAAAAAGGGCCAGGATCTCGCCTTCGAAGTCTATATGCAAGGCAATTTTAGAGGTCGAAAATTTACTTTTTAAAAGGAAACGCTTTCTACAAGATCAATTTCTGGTGTATTCTACATAGATTGCCGTAATTGCCACACACTGAATGCATTTATTTCAGAGTACAATTACAAAGATATCTAATTATTCCCCTAAAGGTGCAACATCACATAGTGTAGGCTGTATAGCCGAGCCAAGCTCACCTGTACGTCTGAACTAGAGACACGTCTAGAAGCCTAGCAATCATACAGTATATGAAAGCTGTCGCTGATTATTTCTCTTCTTAGGAAACTTATCTATTTCCTTACGCGCTGCGGAATACGAGCAGGCAGATGTTTTCGCTCTCGCTCTGTTAGGTTTGATGTGGCTGGGATTTTGTAGTGGCTGATGATGAGATGATGATGATGAGTAAGATATACCTGGGATGCTTTGATATGATGCTGTGATGATTACGTAGGGAGTGAGAGGAGTGGGGACTCAGGTACGAAGTAAGATACCCAATTTCAGCAGCACGATCATTTTCCGGTTGGATATATTGTTGATAGTGACGGGTTTTCTTTCGGCAGAAAGGCTGCTCTTGCACACTCTCACTTCTACCATTTGAACTCTTTCACTAGCGAATATCGTTCAGCGTGATTCAGAGAACATGTTTACGAGTACCTATTTATTCAACATAACATACAAGTCGATAATCCTTCCAGTCTCGCTGGTCCATCCTGTCCGTCCATCCATGCAGAGAAACATATTACTAAACCCGATTTCAAGTCCTATGATGCAAAGGAATACAGAGGCAATTATCAAATGCCGAACGCCGTGAAAGAAAGGAAACCATAAAAAGCGTGAGCATCCAACCGTGTATCCATCATCAATAATTCTGACAAAATCTAACCACTGCACATCATACACTCCTCTTTGTTGTCAATGCTGCCTGGAATAGATGTCAGTGGGGTTCAGATCGGCCAGGAGCGGATAACTTACATTGTAAAGCAGCCTCGGCATAGATATCGTGCTCTCTATCATCACTCTCGCCCTTGACATCCTCTTCTTGGATCTTGGCTGGATTGGCAGGCTCAGGAAGTTGCTCTTCCTTTGGTGGTGCAACCGCCGGCTCAGTGGCAAGAGCCTTTGGAGAATCACCCTCTGGAACATCAGCCTTGAAAGCTGGGGTCTTGATCACAGCTGCAGGAGAAAACTTCTTGTTCTCAGACGCCGGCGGTGGAGTTGCCGTCGGCGTCGGAACCCCGTTTGGGGCACTGCTTGGGGAGGTCTTTCGGTACATTGGCTGAGGGCCAGGAGATTGTGTGATGAATCCAGTTGAAGGTCGCTTCTTGGTGACGCGCTCGCGTGCAACGTTGGTGTCGGCGACGAGAAGAGCCTCTTGATCGACAGTGAACTGAATAGGAGCTGAAGCTGCCATTGTACGGAGATAGTACATGCCAGTCTTCAAGCCCAACTTCCAGCCAGCGAAGTGCATACTGGTGATCTTGCCCATGGTTGGATCCTTCATGTGAATGTTCATGGATTGAGACTGATCGATGTATGCACCACGGTCAGCTGCCATTTGAACGATGGTACGCTGAGAGATCTCCCAGACAGTCTTGTAGAGAGCTTTGATGTCGGCAGGGATGTTGGGGATATTCTGAATGGAACCACCATCAGCAATGATGCGGTTCTTCATGTTGTCAGACCAGAGTCCCATATCGACAAGATCCTTCAACAACCAAGGGTTGACAACTTGGAATTCACCAGCCAACACACGACGAGAGTAGATATTGGAAGTGTATGGCTCGAAGCACTCGTTGAAGCCCAGGATTTGACTCGTGCTGGCAGTTGGCATAGGAGCCACGAGCAGACTGTTGCGAAGGCCGTGTTGCTTGATCTGTTGCTTCAAAGAATCCCAGTCCCAGAGATCAGTTGGTGTAACCTTCCACATATCATATTGGAGCTCTCCTTGGGATGCTGGAGATCCTTCGTATGTCTCGTAGGTGCCATGGAGCTTGGCAAGCTCGACAGAAGAAGTGAGAGCAGCGTGGTAGATGGTCTCGAAGATCTGGATGTTAAGGTGCTTGGCCTCAGGTGACTCGAATGGGAGACGGAGAGCAAGGAAGACATCGGCAAGACCTTGAACACCAACGGCAATGGGTCTGTGACGGAAGTTGCTCCTGCGAGCCTCGGGAACGGGGTAGTAGTTGATGTCGATGATCTTGTTCAAGTTCTTGACAACAACCTGGCAGACCTCGTGGAGCTTGTGGAAGTCATAGCTACCATCGGTCTGGTTGACATAAGTTGGGAGAGCAAGAGAAGCCAAATTGCAGACAGCGACTTCATCAGGTGCACAGTACTCGATGATCTCTGTGCAAAGGTTGGAGCTGCGAATGGTTCCAAGGTTCTTCTGGTTGCTCTTTCGGTTGCAGGCATCCTTGTAGAGCATGAAGGGGTTTCCAGTCTCGGTCTGGGCCTCAAGAATAGAGTACCACAGCTTCTGGGCCTTGATAGTCTTGCGACCCTTGCCTTCTGCCTCGTACTTCTCGTACAGAGCCTCAAACTCGTCACCGTAGACATCGGCGAGACCGGGGCACTCGTTGGGGCACATCAATGTCCACATGCCGTTCTTCTCAACACGCTTCATGAAGAGATCGGGGATCCACAGGGCGTAGAAAAGATCGCGAGCGCGAACCTCCTCCTTGCCGTGGTTCTTTCGGAGATCAAGGAACTCGAAAACATCTGCGTGCCATGGCTCGAGGTAGATGGCGAAAGCACCAGGACGCTTGTTTCCACCTTGGTCGACATATCTTGCAGTATTGTTGAAAACACGGAGCATAGGAACAATGCCGTTGGAGTTTCCGTTGGTACCAGCAATGTATGCACCAGTAGCACGGATTCTGTGTACATTGAGACCGATACCTCCAGCATTCTTGGAGATCATGGCACAAGTCTTGAGAGTGTCGTAGATGCCGTCAATGCTGTCTTCCTTCATGTCGATCAAAAAGCATGAAGAGAGTTGTGCTTGTGGGGTACCAGCGGCAAAGAGCGTTGGAGAAGCGTGTGTGAAGTATTTGCTGGACATCAGGTTGTATGTCTCAATAGCACTCTCAATGTCGTCGCCGTGAATACCAACTGCCACTCGCATAATCATGTGTTGTGGGCGTTCGGCAATCTTGCCATCGAGGCGGAGGAGGTATGATCTCTCAAGGGTCTTGAAACCGAAGTATTGATAGTTGAAATCCCGATCGTAGACAATGGCAGAGTTAAGCTCGGCCTCGTGCTTCATCACACATTCGTATGTGGCTTGGCTGATCATGGGGGATGCTCTCTTGTTTCGTGGGTTGACGTAGTGGTATAGGTCTGAAATGACAGTCGAGAACTGCTTTTTTGTCTGCTTGTGGAGGTTGGATACTGCAATACGTGCAGCAAGGATGGCATAGTCGGGGTGGGTGACGGTCATATATGCTGCAGTCTCTGCGGCCTGTGGGGGAGAAAAGTTAGCAGAGTCCCCAGACGCGATTCAACGCGTTGCAGGCGTGAAAGCGTACCAGGTTGTCGAGTTCGACTGTGGTTACGCCTTGGTAGACACCAGAGATGACTTTTTGGGTGATTGCTGCGGCATCAACATGTTCGGCGTCGAGTCCATAACACAGTCGAGAAACACGGGCTGTGATCTTATCGAACTGAACACGCTCCTTGCGTCCATCTACAGAACAATGAGCAAGAAGGTTCAAGACAGGGGGAAACGGGATATCAAATGGGAGAGGCAATACATACCACGCTTGAACACGAACATGATGGCGACGTGTAGCGGTGGTGGGGGGTGGGTTGGAAGAAAGGAGTGGCAATAGTGTGCTGCGTTCGAGGATCGTATTCAAGTGACAATGGGATACAATGCTGCTCGAAACAATCAATCGAGCTGGGGTGGAGGCGGGAGGAAGATAGGGAGGGGAGAAGAGGTGGTGGTGGTGATGTTGATGTTGATGGGAGAAAAGAAGACGAGGTGCAGGAATGTTTTCTGAAGTACTTTAGCAACGCGACTTAGGGCGCGTCCCCCTGCCACTTTTTGTAAGCGGGCAGTCCTAGCGCGACAACAACGCGAAACCACTTAAGGATTTTCTGCCGATGCCTTGTCTCAGACGGGGACGATTATGATATCGGTGTGATACTTGCTTATCTAGCATGAGTCAATAGTGGAGCTATTTCATCAAAATCGTTATTTACATCCAGGCAGCATCGCCGATTTGAGGATTACCCCTCGATATCACGTGAGACCAAGAGCATCTAGGCAGGTTAAGGGCATTTATACTCGAAAATCTCGAGTAGCGAGACATATTTGAATGCGTTTCTGGATTCTAGATGATTGGTCCCGAGATTAAGAATGCTTGGAAGTAAGAAGCACGAACCCCGCCCAGAATGAGGGCATGTGATGTGTGTATGTGCAAATACAAACATATGTCAATACAATGGCAATCCTCTTACAAGACTCATTCCAGTCCTTCTACTTCTACAATCCTATCCGGCTCGATGCCAAGGTAGTTATCCTCCTCCGTAGACAAAGATCCCTTTCCCACTCCTTTAGAGCATTATTAGTTACTATTAAAACTCACCGAGAACGAATATAATCACCAGTATCATACGACCCAGCCCCAAACAACTCATTCATAGACTTGGCCAGCTGAGCCTGAACTTTATGTCGACTCTTCCCAACGTATGACTTCTTGAACGGTGCAGCAAGAACAGAATCCCAGTCTGCGATCTCGTGGACTTTCTTGTCCTTGGCACTCGACGTTACCATGAAGTTTTCGCCATCCTTGATGGACAATGATTGGATGGTTGCATTTCTTGCTGTGAAGGAAAGTTCCAACTGAAGACTCTAGTTAGTGATTGCTCGGAACTTGCTTGGATACCAGATGCTTACACCGTGAGGAAATCGCCAAATGTCTTTCTCTCCCAAATTTTCTCCATCGAAGCCAGATGTTGAGAACTCGAATTGTGGGGTCTGGCCATAGATCCAATCCTCGGACTGCACTTGATTAGCTTCATGCTTCCGCTTGAAGCTTCCACTTACCATCAACTCTTCGAATCCACCCTTGATTTCAGGAACATCCGCCTCTGCTCGACCAACCGTCATGGCTTTGCTATGGCTATACATCTTCCAAAACTCATGCCTGACAGCCCCTTCAAACTTTGCATTCTCCATACCAACATTCATTATCCTCGAGCTCACGCTTTCAACCCCTTTGGCCTTGATGAAAGGTTTGCCCGGGGCTCGCAGATATTTCGATATTGAACCAATATTCGGACTCGACAGTAGACACGTCCCATGGTGAACAGACCTCAATCTCGTAAGTTTATATGCCGACCCAGAAATTTTAAAAGGCAATTCCCCTTCTCCCGGAACCGTCTTGTCCACAACAATATCATGTCGTTCATTGACCCTGACTTTGTCAACGCCCAAGTTCCGCAATGCTCTAGCTACCATTTCTGCATGCTTGTCTCGGTCGAAATCTGCCGTTGGCATAATGACGCTGTAATTGACGTTTCCTTCATCGTGGAAGACGGTTCCTCCACCGGATCTTCGGCGTACAAGCTGTACTCGATGGTCTGCATTCTGTAGAATTCCTTGCTCGTTCCGTAAAAGACCCAAATTGACTTCTGTCCATGGATTCTGGTTCCTGCCAATGATCACGCTTGGTCGGTTTGTGTAGAGAAAGAGAATGGTAGCGTCCGCCGGCGACTTTTGAAGGAGGTAGTGTTCGATGGAAAGGTTGAGGTATGGGTTGGGACTTCGAGACGTGTAGACCTGGTACTTGTTGGAAGGATCTGCGACTGCGCTTACAAAATCTGAGAATCGTCGTACATCTTGTCGCGGTTTTTGTAGGTGTAGTCGAGCTTGTCGCAAGCAGTTGAGCCCTCTAGATGGAGCCATTGGGGGAAACAAAAAGTTTGTTGATCAAGCACCTTCAAGCTCCAACAATCGAGTCGCTAGAGCTGCTGGAACTTCGCTGCAGGCACACCCAATGCCCCTGCAAGTCGTCCGAGCTCGGCAACCCCTCGACGAGTCATCAGGTTCAAAAAATAACACCACATTGGAATTTCTAGACGGCATCCTCAACTCACATCAACAACTCCACAATCAGCCAAGATGTCTACCTTTGGTCAATATTTTAAGGTCACCACGTACGTATCAACTCAATTGACCTGCTTCAAATACCCATAGTCTAACATTCCCACAGCTATGGCGAATCGCACTGCCGCTCTGTGGGATGTATCGTCGACGGTGTCCCTCCCGGAATGCAGCTCACAGAGGAGGACATCCAGCCGCAGATGACGAGACGGAGACCAGGCCAGAGTGCCCTCACTACCCCGCGTAACGAGATGGACACTGTCGAGATTCAGTCCGGCACAGAGTTCGGTGTCACGCTGGGAACTCCAATCGCAATGATCGTGCGCAACAAAGACCAGAGACCCAAGGACTACGGAAACTCCACTATGGACCTATATCCTCGCCCGAGTCACGCAGACTGGACATACCTTGAGAAATACGGTGTCAAAGCAAGCAGTGGAGGAGGACGAAGTTCTGCGCGCGAGACAATTGGACGAGTGGCTGCCAGCGCGATTGCAGAGAAATACTTGAAGCTGGCACACGGAATTGAGATTGTGGCATTTGTTACATCTGTCGGAGGCAAGCATATGTTCCCTGCTACAGTAGAACATCCCACACCCGCTTCGAACCCAGCCTTCCTCTCCCTGATCGAAACTATCACTCGCGAGAAAGTCGACGAGTTCGTTCCAGTCCGGTGTCCAGATGCCACCGCGGCAAAGGTGATGGGTGATCACATTGCAGAGTTCAGAGATAGAGAAGACAGTATCGGTGGAACAGTTACATGTGTGATCAGGAACGTACCGAGCGGTTTGGGAGAGCCTGTGTTCGACAAGATGGAGGCCATGCTCGCTCACGCCATGTTAAGCATACCCGCCTCAAAAGGATTCGAGATTGGATCTGGATTCGGCGGTTGCGAAATCCCTGGCTCCAAGCACAATGATGCGTTCATACTTGCACCAGTTGTACCACCCATGGAGACTGGCGCATCGAAGAACGGCGTCCCCAGACCAAAACTCACGACAAAAACCAACAACTCCGGAGGTATTCAAGGAGGAATCACAAATGGGGCACCAATATACTTCAGAGTTGCTTTCAAGCCACCTGCGACAATTGGCAAAGCTCAAGCAACGGCTACGTACGACGGGGAGGAGGGAGGTGTTTTGGAAGCTAAGGGACGACATGATCCATGTGTCGTACCTCGCGCTGTGCCAATCGTTGAGGCTATGGCTGCGTTAGTTATTGTGGATGCATTGATGTCACAGCAGTCAAGGCAAGTGACACGAAGCCTTCTTCCGCCATTGAAGCAGGCGAATCCTACACCGACTAGAGGAGAAGAATCAGCTTCGAAGGGCGTGAATGGTTTAAAATTGGAGTAGATACAATGGCTTATGGAGATTTATGCATGGAATTTTGCGGCAGATTTTTGCATTTCCCGTGGCGTTTATCTATGATTTCCCGACTTAACACCTCCTCCTCTTGACCCCAGTGCCTGTTGCTGTCCAAAAAGAGGCAAATTTGTGTAATAAATAGTTCTTGACCGACACAGAGGCACACTCTCTATTGTTTCCAACAGAGCAGGTCAAACACCTAGAGTGCTTACCTGACCAAGACACAAAACTCGTCCATAATAAGGAAGAAAGTCCAGCTTTTGTAAATGCAGAAACTACCCACCTGATCCCGTATATGGTCTCTGAGGTGACTGCATTTCTCTTGAATTATTAACTCTAAACCTTCGTTGTCTATCTCGCACGTCCTCCAAAGCACTTTCAACTAGCAAACATCTCCATTTAAACCTTCCAAAAGAAGCACCATCCACTAACCAGTGTATATCCCCTTGTTTTCCCCAAGACAAACTTTCATAAATACTTTTTCCAACCAGAAAACCCTAAATGAAGATCTTTCAATTTCGCTCCGAGGACTTTACCAAGCCTCGCGAGAAGACGTACTTGAGGAAAAAACAGCTAGACTTAGTCCTTTGTGGTATAGTTCGATACAGTACAATAGGTGGTTCAAAGGGCAGGGCTCGATTTGAAGTTCCGCAGCAATATGTGCAGGGTGTGGAACTCTATCTTGAATTGTATTACCTTCACTTGGTGTTCATATACGCAACTGTCTCTGCCCTAATATTGATATCAGTGAACATGGAAGCCATTTCCAGATATTTCTGAATACCATATGTAGAGTGGCCCTATGTCGTCGCAATTGCCTGCTGACTAGAAACAACAACTGGGATTTCTTCTACTTGGAGTCATCTTCTAGCAAGTTAAGAGAGATGGCTTCTTGAAAGATAGATTGAAGATACATTTCTTAATGCATTCCGATCCCATCTAAAGTCATCGGAAAGGAGGAAGTCTAGGTTCACACGTGCAAGCCGGCTGCTGTTGGGTCACTCGGTGTTGTTTATTTTCTCAAACTAATTAAGCGAATCGTAGGAATACACAGATGTTGACATCACTTGGCACACACTGCATTTAAAAACGCTTCAACTACTCGAAATATTAATCATCCATCAGGCATCCAGAAGATGTCTGTGAGGTGGAATCAATGTATCTAAATTGATGTAACATACATTCAAAGCCACAAAACGGTTATATAACGTTACACGATTTGACGCATCATCGAAATCGTCTCGAAAGGGACTTCCCACGATCACTCCCGTCTTAAACAAGAAATTACACCCATGATAAAGCCATACCAGGTGATTTCTGCAGAAAATAGTAGAGACTCCATGATGTATGATCAAGCAGAGGTGGAGACTTCACACGAAGGCGCAGTAACATTGAGAGATTTTGAAAAAGGAGGTGAAAGATCCGCGGATTGATTTTGCTTCAACTTTGGCTCGTTTCCATCGTGCCTTTTCCTGTACAATGGGGATAAAGTCCACAATCTATCGGTAATTATACTGATGTAGTTTGGGGGCTCCAGAGCGTACATTGCCGCCTTTCCTGACCTCAGGTCTGAGGAACGTTCAGATAGGCAGTCGTACACCCTCTCCAGCTACCGACACAGGAGTACGCTATATGATTGAGCCCGCATAAGGGTTCTCAGTTTCAAATTCCGGCAAAGACTAAGGTCCGCCTCAAAAGAGGCGGACCGGAGATATTATAACCAGAACCGCAGTTCAACGCAAATCAGCATGTTCGACTAATGCGTCAAAATGTGTACAATCTTATGTTTTGGATGTCCATCACTTCAACGTACAATACAGGTAAAGTATAAAATCTCTCAAAAGATAGTCCTCTTTGGATTTCTTCAGATCATATAAAGGTACTTTAGACATGTCCGTCAGAATTTGTCAAAAGGTTTGTAAGAGAACGGAAGTCAATCAAGTACGCTGAAATGGGAAATGAGTAACCACTTCCCATTGCCTTATGCAACGACTCAGGTGTACTGCTTATATGATTCTCTCAGTAGATCGCAGCGTGAAGGATCGACGATAGTGCGAAGGATTTTCTAAAGTCATAGCCAGCCCGTCCCATTCAGACAAGGAGGTGAATATATCGATCGTGGACGGATCTATCAACGCCTGTAAAACCCTAGCAGAATCGCACCTGACAGCGAGTTGTGACTTTGGACTCTCGACAGCTGTTGGCCCGAGCTAGCTAGCTTGACCAGGCCAGATGAAGAGTCTGTGATACGTTTTTCTTGGATGGAAGTAGGGATAACCTGGTATGATTGAGGCTTTAACTTGTGACGGATAGGTGGGACATACGGCGTGATAGGTAACTAGGGTTGCAGTATTGATATGTAGAAGCATGTGGCTCTAATATCAGTGGGTTTGGGAGAGGAGCAATTGGTGGTGCAGGCAAATCACCGCTTTGAGAGAGTACGAGAAGTATGCGAGGAGCTCTTCGCTCGAGGAAGGGAAATGTCATAAGACAGCGCGGTTTACTTGATTGTCTTTAACAAGAATGAAGCTACAAAGATGAAATTTAGTATTTTGCTGATGCCATGGTTCGAGAGCTCAGAGCATCAGCATCGGCTTGGATGATAATTGATGGGCAGTCGCTTCTGTTGATCTGGTTCTCTGTCTCTGGGCGACGAAAAGTAAGATCTGGGGAGGATCTATATACAGATAGAAGTGCAGGCATATAGACAGGGTGGGTTTTGTATTAGTGGCTGAGAGATGTATGGCGACTTCAATTGTTGATTGTGATGCCGATAAAGTAGATTGAACAAATCTCAGAAGACGCGCGGGTATTAAAAAAATCGAGGTTGAAGAAAACGTAAGTGAATAGAAAATTCTGGACCGCCTGGGATTGAACACTCTATCTTACTAACGATAACCCGACATTTTGAAAGCTTCAATGTCGTCATAGTAAGACAGCGGAATGTCCCGCTTTAATGCAAGCCAATGCATCTGCACTGAAATGCAAATCATGTAATGGACCTACCTACCTAGGTAGATTGACAAGTAACGTACCAGCGCATCTGTTAAGACTGGACTCAACTAAATTACCTAGGGAGAAAATACGTACCTAAAGTTCAGTAGGACAATTTACGTTTTCCCAGCCTCTGAGGAACACCAGACCAGTGCGGTGTCATGTTTCGGGCACGTGCATCTCGACTCGTGCAACCACCTCAATCCAAGTCCAGCAGATACCTAGATTGCCAAGTCCATGTCACGGTTCTCGAGATCTCTGTCTCCTCATACCTATCTTCCTGCTCTTCGTGAACTGCATCATGTTCGCACTTCTCTCTCCGCCCAGTAGCTGAGCTTCTCTTTTCCCAGATTAAGGTATCTCACTACAGTAGGTAGAATTTTGCATGTACGCGTAATGTTTTACTCCATGACTCGACTCGCCCGAACACCTCCACATCACAGCTTGCTTCTGCTTCTCGAACACCGGATCGAAAGAAACAAGGAAAACATTTTGACAGGGCCGGGCCAAGTTGACTAGATTTACTATTATCACGATAGCTTCATTTCACCTCAAGCCTCTACTCCACTCCATCAGCTCAGCAAGTACTGATAGCCGACCAACTCGCCTCGCCTCGCCTCGCCTCGCCACCGCTGATGTGGCTCAAACCCATGTCCCGCTGAAGAGGCTGTTCTAGAACTCCCTACGGCAATCTGTGAAAAGGGAGATGGGGGGATGGGGAAAACGGGATCGCCGTTTCTCAGCCACAGATGTTTGTGAGAGTGAGTGAGTGATATTCTTTCCAGGTTGGTACAGTGATTGATCGATTATTGATTGGTTGGGGAGGCGATATGGTAAGATGAGGTGAGCACCTTAATTTGGCGAGGCGAGGATGGATAAATGGATCTGGGGTGGGGGTGGAGTGGAAAGCAGATCTTTGTGACTGGATCGTGAGGATAATTTGACGCCGGAATTGGGATGTTGAGATTTTAATTGGATGTCCTGCGGTATCTGGTACCTGGGGGAGTTATTCGCAATGCATTGCATAAATCTCCCTCCCTCGGATAAGACCTCAGCCAGGTCGATTCAATTCAAGCTCACCGTTCGTCCACCTCCACGGCACTACTACTCCTCAACTCAACAAGCCTGCTGTCTGGCCTGTCTCGTCTCGCATCACACAACGCCAGCACACACCTCCTCTCCTCACCTCACTTCCACAGGTTCCTCGCCTACCCCAATACAGCATAACCCCAAAGCTAAAATCCCAAGCTTCTCACTAGGTTACCGTACTCCAAACGCAAACCCAGCCGTTCATGGGAAAGCTCAGCCACCTCAGAGATACAGATTTGCTGGGTGAGTAGTCTGAGCGAATAGTAATCAACGAGGGGGAAGAGAGAAGTGAGTGTTTGGTTCGTTCCCTTTCTGGGGAAAGAAGATAGGGCAGGGATAGTCCTTGTTGGACAGGGGGGATTGTCACGCCCCGCCCCTGGATATAGTAAAGCTTGGGTGCGGTTGAGGTGCTGGGGAAAGAGACGAGAAGCACAGAGACGTCACGTCACAGCGTGAGTTAGTAGTGAGTTGTTGTGCGGCGGGGGATGGGGGAGGAGCAGGTGCGTTGGCGTGTGGACGTGAACCTGCTTTTGCGCTTGGTGGTCGGTCAGTCGGTCAGTCAGTCAGTCAGGCTTTGTGGATAAAAGTCAATCAATCAATCAATCAATCAGTCCCGCACTCGTACAGTGCAGAAGGTTGGTGTGTCACTGTTGCAGGTGTGCTGTGCGGGACTTCAGTTCAGTGTCACTACTGGAAAGGATATTATTCAGATGATATTGTAGGAAGGTATCTATTTGAGTTCTGGAAAATAAGATAAAATAGAAACGCATAGATTCACCTCATCTCTCGGGTAAAAATCCACCAAAAGGCATCTAGATCCCTCACCACTCAAAAGGTCGAATGGGGACAATTGATTAATTGCTGCTTGTTGTTAGTTATCGCTTGCGACTGGTTGGTGGGGAAATGAATGAGATCAAGGCCGGCCTGGAAAAAAGGTCCCTGAGCGTGGTATCGGCAGCTTTGTTTGCATCGATCGTGCTGCCCTGCCCGGCTGGATCTTCAGTGTGATGTCAGGGGGCTCCTCCATCGCCTGCAAGCCTGCCCCATGTCCCTGCTTGCTCGCTCGCTCGCTCGCTGCCTGCCCTGGCCATGGGTACGATGCTCAGCGCTGCAGGTGAGTGGCTGGGGATCGTGTTTCAGGTGGAGATTGATGGGATGGGCAATTGACAAAGCCTTGGTTGGTTGGGGGTGTTGGTTGGAAATCCTGTAATCTGGAGATTGGGGATCGGGGGAAAGGGACGGTGGCATGATGGGTAAAAATGCTGTGAGGGCGAATGAATTGGTTGATTGTTTGAGATGGGATTTATTACTCAGGACAGCGGGATTATAGGATTGAAATGAAATGAGATGAAATGGTAGACTACGCTTTCTTTTCTCGCCCGTTTTCGAACTCTTTGTGAACAGTCTTTGTAATTCCTCTCTACTGCTGTGCACTGCTCTCTGTGCTCTACTCTGTTCTGCTGTGCTCCCACCTCCTCCCATATCCCAACCTCTGATCTCTGCATGCAGGCGGCAAATCAAATACAGTACTTACTGTATCCTGGCCCAGCTGTGGCTGGGGAGTCGGCCCCTGCTGAAATAGAGTATTGGCCCATACTGTTTTCAGGTACAACAACCCTGCAGTGCCTGGCAAATCCCTGCTGTGGTCCTGGTGGTCCCTGTCACTGCATGTGTAGCGTCATATCCCGAATCCCCTCAATTGATTTTCCAAGATTTGCTTGCTGTAGCTCAAGCTCAAGCGCACCACGACACGACAGCAAGCAAGCTCTGCCAGCGCGAGAGACATAGCATGATATTACTACTGGCGGCGGCGGTGACGGTCACGGTCACGGACTGGCCGCAAATGCAATGGATAAGAATATGGTCGCGCCTTGCTAGACTCAATATGATATAGATTGTGCAACTAGACGTCAATAGCCAGGTCTCTGATTGCTTGCCGGAAAAGACAAGACAAGGCCCCGTTGTGCACGGTAGAGCCAGAACCAGGTCAACTTTCAGTCAAATCTATCAAATGCCGCCGCCAACTGCACAAACGGAGCCAATCAGTTGTAATTAAAGTGTTGGAGTCGCACTGCCAACTTGTCCTGATCGGGCGTAGACAGGGCCTCTTATTTGGTCGTCCAAGGCTCCAAGCATCCAAGCAGCGCATCGTCACTTTTGACCGGCCCTGAGCTTGAGCCTGAGCCTGCCTCGCCTGCCTCCTCTCGTCTCCCTCCGCCAAAAAGCAAGCTCGCTCGCTCGCTGGCGCCCAAGCTACTTTAGCTCCATTTGCTGTTCTCCCCCAAATCTACCTGCTCCCCCCCCAACTTCCAACAGCCCTTCTTCTTCCCTTTCTCCTCCACCTGCAACAAAGAACTCCACCGCGTATTCTCAAGCAAGCAAGCAAAACTCTCGCACTCCATCATCAATCAACCTCTCCACGAAAGTATCTCTCCATACCAATAGTCAAGATGAAGTCCGCATCCATGATCGCCGTTGGCGCATTCGCCTTCACTGCTGTCGCCCAGCTTGAGAATCTCCCATCCTGTGGTGTAAGTTGTTATCTGCTGGTCCCTACCTGTCAATAGTGGCAGATCGAGATCAATCGAGGCAATTGTCGCGCAATCTACCGTTCAATTACTCTCCGATCTTGCATCTGCCACTGTCTCTCAACAGCTCGGGTTGCCTATCGTCCCAGGACAAAAGCTGACCATTTCCCAGCAAACTTGCATTTCCAACATGCTTGGTCTTGCTCCATCCCTTGGATGCTCTGCTACCGATGCTGCATGCCTCTGCGGTAACGTCAACTTCGCATACGGTATCCGTGACTGCTCCAACGCTGCCTGCGGTTCTGATGTCGCGCCATCCGTTATCGCCTACGGTGTTGCATACTGCTCCTGTGAGTACAGTCCAGAGCGAGGTGTACAGACTCTTGATACTGATGTCTTCTAGCCGCTGGTGTTGCTATTGGTGGATCTGCTACTGGAACTGGAGCTGGTGGTAAGTCAACACAACTGCAGGATCAAAGCTTGGGATATAACTAACATGTGAATAGTTGGCTCGGCCACTGCTGTTACCACTGCGACCGTCGCAACTGGAACTGAGACCGCCACTGCTACTGGAAGCGGAGGTGTAAGAAATTCTCATTTCTGTGGACCAAACTCCATACTGACGTCAATTTCTAGGCTGGTGGAGCTGGTGGAGCTGGTGGATCCTCTTCTGCCATTACCACATCCGAGATTGTCTCGGTAGTTACCTCGGGTGATTCAACCTTCTCGACCGTCGTTGGTTCTACTACGATCTTCGCCGGTGCTGGAGGAGCTGCTGGTGGATCCGCATCTGCCATCACAACCTCTGCTATCGTCTCCACTGTTACCTCCGGAAGCTCGACCTTCGAGACCACCGTTGGATCATCCACCCTCTCTGGTGTTGGGGGTGTCGTTGGGGGTGCTGGTTCAGCTGCTTCTTCCGCAACTGGATCTGCTGGATCTGCTGCTTCCTCGGCCGGATCTTCAATCACCTCTGCCATCAACAGCCTTTCATCCGCTGGTGCAAGCGTAAGTTTCCTAGGCAAGCTTAATTTCAAAAGCAATCTAACACAACCCAGGCCTCAAGCTCTCTTGCAAGCTCTCTTGCTTCCGCAGGATCCAGCCTTTCCTCCGCTGCCACTGCTGCCGGTGGAAGCTCCACCTCCTCCGCTGGTGGTGCCCGTCAAACCGCCATGGCCGGTATGGCTGGTCTCGTCGGTCTCGCCGCCTTCGTCCTGTAAATCAACCAACCAGACCAAACCTTAATTCTCCCCTGCGCATACGATCGAATTCCGACTCGTGTCTGCTGCATAATAACGGAAAAAGAAAAAAGGGACAGGAAAACCAATTCTTCGAATGGCTGAGGATGTGTAATGGGATGTAATGGAACTTACAGGCGGAACGGGATACAGCGAATACCCTTGCTTCTTTTTCTTGTGCTCATATTTTTGCCCCCTCCCATTGTGTGGGGGGGTCTTCAAATTTCTTCTTTCTCTCTCTCTATCTCTCTTTTGACGACATTATGCATTTGACGAGCTGAAAGGAGAGATCAGGTCAGGCATTATGGATGGGTTAATGCAAATAATGGATGGGGTGTAATCAGGGGTGGTGGTTGTGGTGGAAAGAGATTTGATCTTTTGCGGAATGGAATTGGAATTGAACGAGATGAGATGATGAAATCAGATCAGATCAGATGAGAAATAAGACAAGACATGCCACTTTGGGTTTTTCTCCCCTCTTCCTCCTACTGACTGGCTGGCTGGCTGGCAGGTTGCGCTGGGCTGTTGTTAGACGGCTTCTGCTGTTGCTGTTGCTGTTGCCGTTGCTGCTGCTGCTGGTTTTAGGGGAAGGGGGAAAAAGACTGGGTGCGATGAATATAAAAGATTCTTAATACTTCTCTACTCTTCTCTTCACTACTTACTTCCTTTTCCTTTGGGTGATGTGATGTGCCTTTGTGGTGTGTGATGATGATGCGCTAGTGTTGGGAGGGACTCGTGTCTTTCCTTCCTCTAGTGAGTAGTGAGGGAAGAGAAGGGGGTCTGTTGCAATGTTGCTCTTCTCTCTTACCTACCTACCTACCTGATAAGATATATGATATATCCTCCTTCTCCCCCACCCCCCCCCCCCCCCCCCCCCCCCCCTCCCACCACCGGTCTTTTCCTCGTCGCAACTCGAAGGCTTGCCTTGTTACCTGCTGCCTTGTTACCGGTATGGTATGGTATGGTATGGTAGTGTAGTGTAGTGTAGTAGTGTAGTGTAGTGTAGTAGTGTAGTGTAGTGTAGTGTAGTAGTGCCGTGTACCTACTACCTACATTACCCTTCAACTTTGCCTTGCGGTACGTAAAGCTCAAAGCTCGTCAGTCGATGCATCCCTCTCTTTCTCTCTTTCTCTACGATTCGTATGTACCTATACCTGAGGTATAGATACATATATCTTGTTCGTGCGTGGGTGCGTGCGTGGGGTTCTTGATGCCATATCATATCATATTGTAGCGCGTCGTATCGCATCTCCTATCCTTCAATTTCCTCCCCCTGTTTATTGTTGTTGTGTTTCGTCGTCCTCGTTTTTGTCCCTTGACTTTGTTCTCGCGACGCGATTCTTGTGTATTTGGGGGGAGAGGGGGAGGCGAGGTAATTTTCCCTCTTGCTGATATGCTGGTATCTTTTTTTTGGGGGCGGATGCGGGGGGAGGGGGTTGAATGTTTATTTTGATGTTCGGGGGCGGGGAATCATAATGGGGTAGTGGTGGTGGTGGGTTGACAGAAGGAGAGGGAGAGGATAGGAGGTCGGACCGGACGAGATGGGTAGGTGGTGGATTGGTGGATTGGAGGAGGAGAGAGAAGGAGGAAGAACGAGGAGGAGAAAGAGGAGGGGAGAGAGGAAGAAATGGGAGAGGCAGTAAGATATTGTTGTCTGGGTTTGGAATTTTGTTTTGGAAACTTGATAACTGATAGAGGAATGGAATGATGATGGAATGGAATGTTTCAGCCTCATCATATCTTCAGCCTCATCCTCCTTTTCAGCCCTGTGCATAGTGGAGGTAGAGACTGGGAGTTGAGCACTAGGAACTACAGTTCGATTATTCTAAGCTTAGTATAGTACTTTACTTATCTTGCGGATAGGCATTGCAAGGGAGGCAGGGGGGGAGGGAGGGATGGAGACTGGAGACACGGGTAGGGCTATGAATCCATCACATCCGGAAGGGCAGCGAGGCCTTTCCCATATATATTTGATTGGATCAGATTGAATGGAATTTAGTGTTAAGCAAAAAATCACGCAGTCTAGACCTGGCTGGGATAAGAGGAGAGGAGAGGAGAGTAGAGGTTGGTGAGTTTCATTGGGAATTAGGAGTTGGGAATTAGATTGTCGATGGTGAGATGGTACGTACTGGAGATATCCGACCAACTAGCAGACATATCTCTATGCCGTCAGATCGGCTCACGGATTTGGGATATGGGAATTAGAAGAGGTCTGGATGGAATGGAAGGGCTAGGTGAGGGTATGTACTTTCTATCGGGAGATGAAAGGAGGTGGTAATTAGTAAGAAGTGAGCGGACGGAACAGGACTGCTATGGAGATGAAGGAGAATGAAGGAGAGAGAAGGGCTAAAGAAAGGATGCCGATCGGTAGATTCTTCGGGGTTGGGAATTAGAATCTGGGAATCGGAAATAGGATTTTGGTATTAGTAGAGGTAAAGCAAGAGGAAGAGGAAGAGGCACAGCGAGTGTTGCCCTTTGGTGTACATACATACATACACACTTACGGTCGGTATCTACGCCACATACACACAGAGAGGTCGTGTCGAAGAGTGCCGCGATAGTTTTTGATGGAGCTGTATTTCGGTGAGAGGGGGGAGGGAGAACTCCGATGAGAATGGGATGGGGATGGGATGGTCAAGCAGAAGGAAGGATGTTCGGTATAGGTCATCGATCTACCTAGATACCCCCAATCTTGCTTCACTTGCTATGGTTTTCTTCTCCTCTGCCTGCAGTGGAAGAAGTGCTTCCTCCTTCCCTTCTTCGGCACCTTCCGATACACAACTTATACTTTCCCCAACACTTCATCACACACATCACTTTTATCACATCTTATCACATTTCAAGTCATTCATTCTGACGGAGATATTGACCGAGAAGGGGTAGAAACGGTTTCTCGCGGCTCTTAATTCATCGCATTTCATCACTTTTTTTTTCATTTTCATCACATCCATCTTCCTCTTGCTTCCGTCCGAAGCTGATAGGTTAGTGGTGAGTACTGTACTATGTAGAAAGGCAAAAAGGAAGGAAGGATCCGGAAATATTACGAGATGTGTCGCTGTAATTAGGTAGCGCGAGGAGGGAGGAATTCGGAGGGTTTTCGATATATTAGGGATTCAATAATGAAGCGGTGGGGAAGGAGATGTACCCCGGATTTTCATTTCGGAGGAGAGAGGGTAGCGGGGGCAAGGGTTTTGATTGGCTGGGAGGATGAGATGGAGGGGAGCGGAGGCGTTGTGGCTGACTTGCTGACATGCTGACAGGCTGTAAGTGGCGGATGTTGGATGTTGGTTGTGGAAGTGGTGGTTGGATGCGGAAAGGAGGGGATGTGAGATGTGATATTGAGTGGCTTTGGTTTGGTTTGGTTTGGTTTGGTGTGGTGAGGGATTTATTTCCTGTCGTGAGGGTTGAGGTTGAGGTTGATGCTTGAGGTATAATAGATGAGGTAGGTAAGTACGGTTATGTGGAAGATGGGCGGGATACTCAAAGAAGATGAAGCGGTGCGGAGGAGAATGTCCGTTGATAGGACTTTCAACTTTAAACCTTGGGTGGATACGATGGGAATAGGTTCAGAAAGTGGGTTTTAGAGAATGTGCGCTATGTCAGCTTGGAAGGGAGTTGACTAGCCATGAGGGGGAAACTTAACACTACAGGTAGTTGGGAGGTGCTGAGAGGATATTCTGGTGTGGTGTCGGGATTACGAATCTCGCCTCAAACATTCCCCCTTCCCTCCCACCTAGATGCCTGGAGTGAGGCAGTGAACAAGTCACGATGTACAAATCGTGACTCTAAAGTTTAGATTTGCAGAGTACGTAGGACGCTACAGAAAGGTCGCATTCCTGCTCTGTTTCATATTCTAGCTCCAAAAAGTCCTGTTTCGAAGTGAGACTCCATGTCAAATACGAGAATATACTTGGTTTTTTGACACCCTTCATTTATACTTCGCATTCTTCTTCGTCTTCATTCCTGGATTTAGACAACTTGGTCTCGTAAATTTGTGTTTCACAGGTCAAGTGACCTCGTCTGATCTGACGTCCTTCATACCCCCTCTTGTCTTGGTATCAGGACTTTGAGTGGAATTGTGAAGGAGGTCGGGCTGGGATCGCATAGCTTGGCGGTACTTTTTTTTATGGCGACTAGACCAGGTAGGTTTTGTTGGTGCGGCTGATTACGAGGACTAGATGGATAGAGAGGCAGGAAGCAGGCAGGTGCGGGCTTGTTTTGGCGAGCTGGAGCGCGAAGGGTGGAAGATACCTTAGGAAGAGGAGAGAAGAGGAGAGGAGAGGGTGTCGTGACTCAGGCCAGGATCTCGAACACGAGATGAGATAGATGGGTACACGAGAGCGGGTGAAATAGGAAGGGCTGTGAGTGATGGTGACTTGATTCTTGGGACTTTGATCTTGGATGTCCATCTGGATCTGAGTGGCACACCACCACCAAGACACGAGATATGTACTTCTGACTGAGGACAAAGTAGAGGTGGAGGTAGAGGTAGTTGCAGAAGTATGTCTTGTTTTGTCTTGTCTTGAAGTCATTCGAAATGTCTCGCCGCATGAAGACTTAAGTGAGGGGTGTCGTGAATGAAGATCATTCCTACTATCGAATAACAGTGGTTACGGAGAGGATACTTTGGAGTCGGAATACGCGAAAAATGAGGGTGCAGAAGTTCAAAGCTGCTATGTTTACTTTTTCTTGCTTTTTCGGAACAGTGAGCCGAATCGTCCGTCCGGGTCATGATCTCACATGTCTTGATCTGATCTGATCTGCAGGTGGGGTTCTGTAACTACCTAATTTACTGTATGTCTCAAAGTTTCCACACCACTCAGCTAATAATTAACCTAGATAGAGGCTGATGCAGAAGATAATTGTTCGGAAATGCACCCGAACTCGATATTCGTCCCCTTGTAGATCGATCTCTTCCACGTACTGTAGATTACGTGCGTCAGTCAAGGTTTTGCGAACCTTTCCTACGGCACAGTAGCGAGCGAGCGAGCGATGCTGACCCGGAAAAAAGAAACCAACAAGCCCAACAAAACAGGACAGGCCAGGCATGGCACGAACCGCGCAAACTTGCAGTGGATGCTGCAGCTTGCGAGCGGTTCGTCCCGCCTGCTCCACCTCTAGAATTTTTATTTTCTTTCAGTGGGCGGAGTTGAGGTAGGTTTTTTCTTCTTTCGGACGGACTACGGACTTGTTGGTTGGTACTCTACTTCCCGTGTGTGAGTTGGTTTGGTTTGGGTTGGCAGCTTTGGTTGGGTTGATGGCACTGATCCAATAGGGATATTTTACACGGGATGATTGTTTTTGGGCTTTCTTGTCGCATGGAGCCAGATCAAGTGGAATAATGAGTGAAGCATAGGTGATGCCCTGCAGTTGGATTTATCTCTCTCTACTAGAGGACGTGTGTAGGTAGGTAGGTAGGTATACCTAGGCTTGTGCAGTTGCATGAACACGTTTAGATTGTTGGAACGGTTCCTCACGAACACCACTCTCCGCGTCCAGTAAGCGGGCGCAGTACCGATTGATAGACGAAGGTACTATGTAGCATTGCGAGAGCATTGCACAGGCAGCGCAGTACAGTACAGTACGGCAAAACCGAGAGGCATGCACAAGCAAATACCTTATGCAGGGCAGCTGGAACGACGGCATTGGTTTCCTTTCCCTCCCATTTCCCGCACGCATCACTCACTCGTTTGGAGTTCGGGTTCACGAACGCCTCTCAGCGGCGGGCGGCCCCAGCCAGCCACTACTGCAATGTTCACCAAACCGAATCGAACTGAACCAAGCCAGCCACTGCAAGCCGGCAACGAGCGAAAATTTCCTCTTTTGACTGGGAAGGGGAATTTTCTAGTGAAGGTAGGTAAAGGTAGGAAGTGAGTGAGTAGGTGGCTCGCTTGCCGAGTGGAAACAAAAACAATAGATAGGTACAGACTGGCTGTGAGCGTAACCTCAATTCAAGTCGAGTCAATTGGGTTCGGTCCGGTTCACTGGAGTTCACTGGATGGCGCGCTGGAAGGTAGGGTACGCTGCTGCAGAGAGAATATATGGCATGGCACTTGCATGCAGTGCTGCCCAGCTTACCTCTTCGAAGGTACTTACTTACTTGTCGCTGGCTGGCTGGATGGCCGTTCGCTGCGCCTACCAACTATCTTATCTAGGGAAAAAAAGTCAAATTCTCTCATTTTGACATATACAGATGTGAATAATGGGCATGATGATGAGCACGAGGATGAGCACGATTGGGGAGATGTGGCATCGTGAAAACCAGATGGATATGCAGCGCCGTCCGTTGACGACGACGACGACGTGAGGTGTGCTCTGCAGTCCGAGCTTTTGTTCGTTGGGGGAAGCGATGCGATTTTGGCAAGGATAGGATAAGAGAGAGCGTAATCGGCGGGTTGGGCGGGCGTGCTTCGCTTGGATGCTTGCTGGAGAGGAGAGGAGAGGAGGAGAGGGAAGGAATGTGATGTATCGTTTTTGTGAGCTTTGATTTTGATTTTGAGTTTGATTTTGATTTTGAGTTGCGAACACCTGATAATTGGAGTGACTGATTGATAGACGGATAGGATTTAGTTAGGAGAGAGCTCCGTGTAAGTTTAAGTGAGAGTGAGTGAGTGAGTGGGTTTTCTGAGAGGCTGAGAGAGATACAGTAGTGTGAGACAGAAGAGAGAGTTTAAATGATGAGTAGATAATGGATGGTTTGGCTTGAGTTAAATTTAAATTTTAAGTTGAGTTCCGTTGGGTATGGGCTGGGTACCTAGGTCCCAAGTAGGGTTTGGAAGGGTCAGGGTCAAGGTCCAGCATTTTGGCGAAGGGTATTATTGAGGCGAATAAGGTAATATGGAAGAGTGTACTTCCTGCCGATAGCACAACTGAGGAGATTGAAACAAACATGATTCTAGAAAAAGGTCCGATATGAAAAGAACACTCATGAGGCTTTTCATCTCGCATTCGGTACCAAGTTAATTATTGTAGAAGGGCGCGTCGTGACTCTTGAGGGACGACTTGGTCTGGTCTGGTCTGGTGTAACACTACTCGGAATATTTCTCTCTCGAGAAGCCGTCTGCAAAAGGAAGGAAAAAAGAAGAAAAAAACAGTTGGGTGAACTCGGACCACATCCCGAACCCTCCAGAGTGAGATGACGACGAAATGTCGATTAAGGAGCATGCATGTATGGTATCCCCGTCGAAAATAATCTGCTGAGTTGAGTTGAGTTGAGTTGAGTTGAGCAGTTTGCGATTCTCGTAGGGATGTATGTCTCAGTCTGACCATCTGGCTGTCTCAATTCATCTGTCTTATCTGGTCTCGTCTCGTCTCGTCTCATCTCGTCTGAGTCGAGGTTGTTTTCCCTCGCCTCTTTTTTTTTCAGCATGGGGATGGCTTCAGGGTGTTGAGCATGGGGCTTATCTTCACCCCTCTCTTCAGAAAGTTACGACGGGGAGGGAAGGCGAGAACAAGAAAAATAGACGAACAGGGGTCCAGATGTTGCATGTGAAATGTCTTGGATGAGCGATCCATGGGTATTGATGTATTTTATTTGGTGCTACGCGAAGAAGGAGAGGGGATGTAAACTTGGAAGATACCTTGTGAGGATTGGATTGCGCAAGTTTTTGGAAAAGGTTGTTTGATAGATGGTGGTGAGATTATTGATAGAGTGAGTGAGAAGGAGAATTTCATTCCCGATTGATCCGAAGACGGCAATTGTGGCTGTATGCAGGATGCTGGTTTGAGTTGAAGATCTCGACATTAGGGTGGTGGTGAGCGAGTGAGGAGGATTGTGTATGAAGACTCACTCCCCTGGGACATATGGGTTGGACCTTACTCCATCGCAGACTTCAGTTGACAAGCTGGGTGCAGATTCCATTTCCTTCCACAGATAGGTCAGGCATGTTAGGAACAGGAAAAGGGCCCAGAGGACTGGACCAGATGCTGCAGTAGCAGCGGCAGCGATGTTAAAGCCAGCCTTCAAATCCTTCTGTCACTCTGCAGCTGGTGGCATAGGTATGCATATTTTCGCATTCTACAGGGAGCGTTCTCCGCATTTTGGGGAGTGCTGGGTCAGGACTGAGGAGTAAGGAGGAGGGTCGTTGCACGGCAGGACGGGATGGGAGATGTGGACCCTCGATTTCGATTTGGATTGCGATAGGAGGGATGGATGGCAGAAGCAGAGTAACTATCTTGAGTCTGCAGTAGATGGACATCTGCGACGCAATGTGATGTGATGTGATGTGCCAGCCATGTCATGGTGATGTCGGGCTAGATTGAGTTTGGCCTAGGGGGATGGAGAGGAAGGAAGAGGAGGGGGAGGATGATGGAGATTTTATGGCGGCGTACAGCGGTTATCAAACAATTTGATTTGGCGAGGAGGAGGGGTTGGTTGGTTGGTTAGCTTCTGTCAAGTCACTCAGTCCAGAAAATCTGGGGTAGCAAGGTGTCTCCCTCACGCTTGGTGCTTCAGGCTTCATGAATCATGGGAGTGCATCGAATCATCGAGATCGCCTTGGACGAATTTGTTTTAGTTGATTGTGGGGACATGGGGTAATCCAGGAACGAGTTACTTTTTTTTCTTTTTCATGCCTGCCGTGGAGGATGCAGATGCAGAGTTGGATTGCGCGGAGGATGAGCATCAGCATGACTTGGCGGCGGAGGGGACACAGATGGAGGGGTAGATTAGAGGGTTGAGATTAGAGGGAGGCCGCTGATTTGACAGAGCTAATCCTGCGTACGAGAGCAAAGTAAAAGTCAGATACTTTACCAGATATGAAAAATGTGACTTCATATCGCAAGCCATGTCGAATGTAGATAGCCAGTTGGAGGTATCTCTTCCGTCTTAGTCTCACTGTCCCTGTCTCAGTCTGAGAAGATCCGATCCGAACTGATCAGCATACCCAGCACACCCAGCACACCCTCATAGTGTACCGCCTCAGCAGCTTCGCGTACCATTATTGCCCCTCCATATCGTCGTCCTTCTCACCACACGTCCAACCTCATCCTCTCTAGACGCGGCTGGCGGAATAGTTAGGCTGCTGTAAATGCAGCTCTTGCATCATCTACCCCGTTTTCCGTTTTCCGTCTTATGCATCCCATCTCCTCCTTACAGCCTCCAGCATGTGCAGCCAATCTTACATCATTCGCATCGCGACTCGTCCCAGGCATCTTTTCCCTCCCTTTCCCTCCCTTCCATCCCAGCCCAGCACATCCTGCCAAGCCCCGCTGCCCGTAAACTTTGATGGGTGCACCAGGTGGTGGTGGTGGTGGTGGTGGTTGAGAGTCGGCCTAACTAAGTTGATGTTCTGCACTGCACCGCATCAAGGTTAAATCCTGGGTCCCGCCCGATTATTTTATTTTGGGCCTGATCAGCAGCCCAAGATGCAACGCGATTGGTGAATGGGACGGAAGCACGCGAATTTGTTGAAGAAGGGGATGGGAAGAGACAGAAGGCAAGAAAGTACAGTATCGTGTTAATATCTTGGTAATGCACGAAAGGAAAGGATTGGAATGGCACCAACATTGTTCAATCCTTATCAAAGGCATCCATCCAAGGCTGCACGATAAACAAGAAATGGACTTGTAAGTTGCGTGCTCGGCAAGCTGGGCATAGGGTGACATTGGGCATGACCTCGATATCTGCGCATTATCAGATGTTTACGGGAAGCTCAAGCTGAATTGAAAAGAGGTTGGCCTTGTCCACCCTACCTATTTTACTTTTAACATTTGTGTCAAGATGACTGACGTTTAGCCTCCCCTCCTTGTCTTACACCCCTTGCCTCTATTTCTTCAACCTCAGAGTCAGCTTCTTTGTCTTGTGTTTATCCGACTAAAACTTGTCCTTCTGCGCCGATCATCAACACCACTAACTCACTCACCCACCACCATCGTCTTCACTTCACCTCAGCTCAACTCACGATATAAGATAATTCACCATATAAGATCTTCTACACCCTTTACCACTCGTCTGATCTCGTGTTTACTATCGCGAAATCCCATCTCGCGATCGTCATCTCGAGTCTCAACCATTACCATTGCCGACGCTCTGCCTCTACCCGCCGCCCACTACTTTTTCAAGCTCGCCGCCGATGACGCTAGTAAATTGACAGACAGCGCCCAAGGACACAAAGGGCCCCAGCAAAAAGATAGAAGCGGCGCCCTCAACTGGCCCGTCCTCTTCTTCTCCTTGTTTCCCGCCCCAGCAGGCCTAAACTCGCCTAATCGGCGCCCTGTCGAGCCTGTGCAGCCTGTGCAGCCTGTGCAGCCCCTGCCTGCAGGGTTGATTATCTGCTGCCGCTCCGACGCCGCGACGTTAGACTGAGCCGAACTGCCCTGCCTCCCTGCCCTGCCCTGCCCTGTCTTGCCCTGCGCTGCACCACTACTTCCTTCTGTTCCCCACCAGTCAACCATCGACCGCCAACCGTATCTCACCCTCATCATTGCTGCTCCACCCCAAACCAACTACCACTTCACCTTACCTCACTCACGATCCTCACGATCCACTTCCGACATCCTCTCGTCCTCCTCTTCCACCTCTTCCTCTACACACCGACAACATACCCGACTGCAGAATGCCTTCCTCACGCTGACACTCCGCCTGGAATATCGATCCCCCAAACATGTCCCTAATCGCATTGCCGCTGCACCTCAACAATGGATCTCTCCACGCACGCAGCTGCGAGAACGGCCACGAGCACGCCCTCGTCGAGCCCAGGTCTCTTCTCTCCCTCCCTCAACCCGACCAAACAACACCTCCCTCCTCTCTCAGATGGCACGCCTCATCCGAGTCCATATCTCCATCCTCTGCAGATGCATAAAGTTCGAGAGTAAGTTGATTGTTTCTTCGCTTCCCGCGCTTGCAATCATCCCACCAAAAACTCGACAACGATCGGACCCCACCTCAACCACATCTACAATACTGGGATTACTGTTTGAGGACTCAATCATCATGGTAAATTGTGTTTGTCGCTCTCCGAAGACGGATCGACCTTTGCGATGTCTAAGACATTGGTGCCAAATTCACAACGTCATGAATCTAGGCTAACGTGCGTGGAATCTAGAACCCACAAAGCCCAAGTCGACCAAGACTTCCTGACAGGTCGCAAGCTGATCAACCAATACGAAATCATTAACGAGATAGGCAGAGGCGTGCATGGCAAGGTCAAATTGGCAAGGAGTTTGGAGACGGGAGGCTTCGTCGCCATCAAGATCATACAACGCTTCTCCAAGAAGCGCAAGCTCGGAAGAGTTACCGTGTCGCCAGAAGACAAGACAAAGAAGGAGATTGCCATTCTCAAGAAGATCCGCCATCCCAATGTAGTCGGCCTACTCGAAGTGATCGACGATCCCGAGCTGAAGAAGATCTACATGGTCTTGGAACATGTCGAGCTCGGAGAAATCGTATGGCGCAAGAAGGGCGATAAGAGCATATGTCTGTACGAAAGACGCCGCATCGAAAGAGAACATCGGGGAGAGAAAGACACTGGCGAAGACGAGAAATACTTCAAGATCCTCGAGAGACGCAAACAACGCAAGGATACTCAACGAGCGAAACTGTCGTCATTGCAGCAAAACCCAGATCCATGGAGTTTGGAACATGGCGACGATGAGGACGACCGGGAGAGTCTGTCTAGGCAGTCTACCCACGATTCCATGCTCAATATGAGATCGACAAGAAACCTCAAGTCGAACCCTGGATCCAGGGTCCACTCTAGAGCGAACTCTCGTGCTCCTTCACGGACCAGCTCGCGTGCGCACACTCCTCTCCCAACTGAATTCGACATTGGTGCTCTGGACAGCGACAACGAAGGCGACGAACCTGGCCCTCTACCGTCCATTGGGTCATATCATGGCTCAGCATCCGCTCTCGAAGGCACTTACTACGGATCGTACCCTGACGAACCACCATATCGAGGAAGATCCCCAAGTATGGCCGACAGTATCATCTCCCACATGTCATCGACTGATGGTATGGAACACGATGCCTTCGAGGATGACTTCTCTTACGTACCATGCTTCACTCTCGATCAAGCGCGGAATGCCTTCAGAGACACCGTCCTTGGTTTGGAGTATTTGCACTACGAGGGTATTGTTCACAGAGATATCAAGCCAGCAAATCTACTTTGGACCAAGGATCACCGCGTCAAGATCTCCGACTTCGGTGTATCTTACTTTGGAAGACCTGTCAGGGATGGTGAGGCCGAAGAGAATATTTCGGAAGCCGATGCTACGGACTTTGACGATGATCTCGAGCTTGCCAAGACTGTTGGTACTCCAGCCTTCTTTGCCCCCGAGTTGTGTTACACAGACCTCGAGATTGAACAACCCAAAGTCAGTGAGCAAATCGATGTTTGGTCTTTGGGAATCACTCTCTACTGCATGATCTATGCCCGGATCCCATTCCTCGCCGACGATGAATATCAACTGTTCAAAGCCATCGCCAAAGAAGATGTATATATACCAAAGAAGCGTCTAAAGGCAGTCGATCCTAACGCTTCGACACCCCAGACTGGTGCAGTTAAACGGATTGGGCCATCGACTGGCTCATTTAGAGAAGAAGGAGAACTCGCGTTCGAAGAAATTGATGTTGAGCTTTACGACCTACTGAAGAGGATGCTTATCAAGGATCCCGCTGATCGCATTCGGTTGAGGGAGGTAAAGAGACATCCTTGGGTTACTCGGGGCATTTCCAACGTACTTGGCTGGGTTGACGATACCGATCCGTCCCGAAGAACTGATGGTCGGAGGATCCAAGTCGACAGGAACGAGCTGGAGCGTGCCGTTGTCCCTATTACCTTCCTGGAGCGAGCCAGATCAGCTGTTAAGAAGGCTGTTGGTAAGGTCATCGGTGTGACGAGAAGTGAAACGAGAGGCGATGGGTCTCGTCGGAGAGCTGTAAGCAACGCTACCAGCTCTGGAGCAGATACCCAACACAACTCCCCCCTGAATCTAACCCCTGGTCTCCGGGACACTAGAAGAGCCAGCCTACGAGGAGACGAGTCCTATTTCACATCACTGTCAGACCTCCACGACCACCACCACCGCGAGCCTACTGAGCACCCACTGGCCCAGAGCCTGACTGCTAGTCCCGATTTCTCACTCCGTGGAGAGGACCCGTTTTCGCTTGACTTTGCTCAGCCTCCCGTCCCGGTAGGAGATACCCCTACCCGAGAACATAAGGCCTCCACCGTGGCAGATCCTGATATAAGACCAGGTCCGCCAGATCGTACCGTCTCGGCGGCAGCGTCTATTCAGACGGTCGTTCACCGTGGTCATTCCCACTCTAGGTCAATGAATTCTCCGTCAATAGGTCCCGTCCACGAAGATGTCACTACTCCAGGACCATTTACGGATCACATGGGTGCGATTTTTGGTGGACACTTGTGGAATGGTAGAGGCAGAGACATGGCTGATATTGAAGAGGGTGTCGCTTTCCGAGCACGATCTGTAGACAGGAACCTGTTCGAGTCAGAGAACAAGCACACCGAACCGCTTGTTGGTATGAGCACTGCCACAGCGCCTGGTCTCTTTCAACATTCTGTGCTTCACCACCCACGCCCGATCTCTCGTTCAAATGATGTGTCACCGACAAGTCCAAATCATCCACTAGCCTCTCCACTCTTCTTCCAGCCATATATGCTTCAGGCGCACCAAGCCCAGTCGGCATCTACTCCCAATGTACCCCACACCGCACTTGCTGCCTCGAACCTGGACGAGCGACCGTCAACGGCAAATCGTACTCCGGAAGGCAAGACACCTGCTCCTCGAATTTATGGTGCAAGCACACCCGAGTCATATCAACGAGCTCAAGAAACCTTGGCACGAAGACGGAAGTTGGAAGAGTATGCCGAACAAAAGAGACAAGAGTTAGTCGACAGTGCTCGCGCAAATGTTCCTCACTGTCCACCATCACCAGATGACGAGATATTTGCGCAGAAGCAGGAAGCATCTCAGCGTGCCCAGTCCTACAGTTCGGTCAACTCAACCAGCATGGCATCACAGATGACATCTCCTTCGAATGTCGCTTCGCCTATCTCCTCGGTCAATCTAGGCTCTCAGGAACAATTCTACCCTTCTGTTCCGTCGCTACCTGCCTTGATCTCTGGATCATCTTCTGTATCGGCAGACCCGGAAGGAGATATGCTTCAATGTCCTGGTGTCGTTCAGCTTCCCGAATATGCAATCACTGGAGATGATACACCTGAAGCTCAAACACCACCATCGCTATCCAAGCAGGTCTCTTCAGATGTTGATACGCCAACAGCGAACGAGGGTGCGATTGCTCTGTCGCCAGAAGAGGATGAAGGATACAATGGGGAAGGAGACACCACCCTTGCAGCAGAAGACGACGATGATTCGGATAGCGACGAGGGTCTAACGATGACTCGAAAGAAGCCCACGCCCAAGTCAACGGTCTCCTCAACAGATAACCCATCCAAAGCCGAACTGAGAAAATCCGAGAGAAGAGGCACGAATGCTAGTGTTGGCAGCACTGAAACTGCAAAGAAGGTTGTCATCGATGGATGAAAGTGATGTCTCTTACGATACCAATTTCTTTTCTCGAAGCATTGGGCGGAGATAGTCGTTTAATGGAGGAGGTCTTGAGCGAGCACAACATTTGAATGCGATGCATATGATTTGAACGGAACGGAATGGATTGGGATGGGACGGACGGCTGGGAGGTTTATGGCCGGCCACGGTATATGAGGTTTGGTCTGGTTTGGAAGATGCACGGCGCCAACGATGGATGGGATGAATAAGAACGAAAGGATGAAAGAAACGAATGGACTGGATGGGTGGCGAGGCGGATATGTCAGGATATATCATTTTCTCACTTTTTCTCGATCCATTCCTCATTTCTTCTTGCAGGCCAAAGCACAGCAGCAGAGCAGCAGAGCAGCAGAGCAGCAGAGCAGCAGAGCAGCAGAGCAGCAGAGCAGCAGAGCAGCAGAGCAGCAGAGCACACGCAACTCAAATTCAAGCAATCAATCACATCACATCAATCAGCAAGGCGTTGTCGGAAAGGAAATTCATTTCAAGGCACCAAGGGACTACTAACTAAGGGCGGCAAAGGGAGGATCATGTCTTTTTTTCTCTGTAGCATAGTAAGTAAGCAAAGCAAGACGGACGGACGGACAGTAAGCATGTGAATCAGACAGACAGGTCTTTCTCTTGAGAGGGGTGCTAGGAGAGGGGGAAGATGGAGAGGAGGGCAGAGTAAGTTAGTAGTATTTATATAGTTTTGAGAAAGAGAGGAATGAAATGGAATTGAATGGAATCTGAATATAGTAGATATCCACTTCAATTTCACTTCTACTTCACTTCCAAGTTTCTGATTGATTTTGAGAGTAAGTAAGTGAGTGGGGTTTTGACATTTGAATTGTATTGTATTGTGTTGTGTTGTGTTGCGTTGTGTTGTGTTGTATTGAATTGTGTTGTGTTGCGTTAAGATGTAGTGGCGACATTCAAGACTAGGTAGGTAGGTACCTCTTGTAGCGTGTAAATATCGTTCTTAGCTTAGCGAGAAGGGAGAAGTGAGAACAAGGACTGAGGAGAGGAGAGGAGAGGAGAGGAGAGGAGAGGAGAGGAGAGGAGAGGAGAGGAGAGGAGAGGAGAGGAGAGGAGAGGAGGGAGGAGGGAGAGGAGTAGGGGAGTGAGTGCGGAGTGGGGAGAGGGGAGTGAGTGGTTGGAGCTTTCTTTTTTTTTATCGCTTACAGAGGAAAGGGGTGGAGGGGTGTGATAGTGATGTGATATGATGTGAAGCATGCTATATATATAATAGTTAGATAGATAAATAGATAGATAGATATAAGATTACTTGAAATCTCACCTCACTTACTAGAGGATGGATGGATGCTCAATTGAACTCACACGTACACCTACACGTACACCTACAGTCCTGTAGTAGATAGAAGATAGTCATATTCATGGTTAGGTGAATAGGTAGACTGTTTGTCTGGCTGGCTGGCTGGCTATTTAGAGTGGTGGTGCTCGCTAGTTGGCTGGCTGGCTGGATGGCTGGATGGATATTTAGGGTAAGCAAGCAAGCAAGCAAGCAAAAGTGTTTCGAGTTGCTTTATGTGAAATGTGAAAGACAAAAAAAAAACAAGAAAAAAGAAAATTGCTTTAAGGCGGTTATGGGTGCATTGAATATATTTTGTGATTTTTAGTTCTTGTAGTATACTAGGAGAGGTGAGTTGTGAATAGTAAGGTAAGGCGTGATTATTTGTGTAGACGGGGAGAAATGAAATTGAGATTAGAATGCAATTATGTGGGTTAGGTAAAGCGAAAGAATCTAGAAAGAAAAGGGAAGGAAAACTGGTAGCTAGGTGAGAATTAAGGTAGGGAAGGGAAGGCGAAGGAGAAGGGAAGAGTAGAAGAGAAAAGAAATAAACGAGAGCAAGAACGAGTTTTCAATTTTGAGGTTCGGAGTAGTTAGCTTGAATAGGTGGATTAGGTGATGCTTGAACTAATCTAGCCGCATTTTGATAATAATAATCCGATGTCCTGTTTGTCAAAACGAGTCACGGGATGAGACCTTCAAGGTAAAGTAAAGAATAATTCATTGCCTCGCAGAATGAACCGGGTGGGAAGCGCTCTATATATACATGAACCTGTAGAGGCTGTAGTAGTCTTAGCTTCCGCATGACTATCTAGTGTCATATTTATTTCTCTATGACACTGTTGTATTCTTATGACTTCCATGCCTTGCTGAAGTGCTGTATTTGAACTTGTGCGGTCCTTGGGGGAGGTAGTTTTCTTTGGTGGTGTAGTTTTTTTTTCCCGATATGCTAGTGTGGATGCAAGGGCAGAGATAAAGTCGTGAGTAAATTTGAGCAGTTGGGTTTCCGCTAATTACTAAATCCTCTTCCTTGATGCCTGCTTATAGTTTTTCAGATATTAGTTTTTCCTATTAAACTTCTTCTCTCTCTACGCGAGTTTTCGTGCAAATGACTTCATAAATTTAAATGGTTGATGTTAATATATCACCCTCTTTTGACTCATTCTCCCTGAACAGACTACTAAACAATAAGAAGTGTAGTACAGCCAAGTAAACTATTAATCGTTTATCTCTCATCACTAATCGCCATTATAAGTGTTCTCTCCTAGTCAATCCCGACTCTGAAATCCTTTTGAAATTCGCAGCACCTGAAGAAAGATTCAAGTACGAAAAACTAAAACTCCAAAATGGCGCTCCGCTCTTACGTGCCATTTCTTGCTGTAGCTTTGGCCCATCCTTTTGCTGTATAGCGATTTAGACAAGAGTTATCACATATTGCGCCTTCTCATGCTCGTTATACTGTATAACCTCTTGACAGACTGCCTCAGCTGTTGTGGCACCATGTTCTGCTAGGACATGTGTAAAGGGCGTGTATATGTCTTCAGTACCGTGATGCCAGGCCACACCGGTATTCCGAAACATGAAAAAACCAACTCGAGAGAACTCGCCTCTTTTGGTGCCTGTGGGACGTATTACAATGCCCCAAACCTCAAGTTCCCTTCCGTCTTGAGCTGTTTCGTCGATTCTGAGAGTACCGTAGGAGTCCCAACCGAGAAATGGTAGAAGATAGAACGGATTTCCATCTCCTTGTTGCACTTCATCCGAGCAATCTAGCCCAATGAAAAACACGTTCTCTTTCGCGGCGTACATTATCACCATTTCCATTATTCCTCTGTCATCTTCTTTGGCTCCTCTGGCGTGACAGAGTACCAAACCCGTGCAAGCAAGACGAATCCGGCCAGCCGTTACTTGCCCAAAGGGATCTGTGCCGTACAGTGTTGTAGTGGCATCCAAGACGTGCGAATATTGAGCTTCGAGGTCTGTGCCCCAAAAGACTCCACCATCGATAGAGGCCCACGACCAAGTGGGTGCTCTCCAAGATGGACGCTTCGTCATCCCTTTTCCTGGCCTGACGCGCCTCCAGCACAGTTGCCCCTCAATCTTGGTTCTCCACAACCCCGCGAGATAATCGTCGCCAGTTTCTTTGTGCACAAGTCTAGCTACCCCAGCGAGGGCTGGTAGCTTGTCCTTCCCATAGGTGATATCTGCTGCAGAATATAGCTCTACAATGTCTTGCCAAGTTGAAGATAACCCCTTCCGACCACAAATGAGGGTGCTGCCTCTTGCAATAGACACTTTCGGTGAATATTCAGAAGCGGCCAGCGATTTGCATTCCCAGAAAGCACCTCGATCGCCGAAGTGAATTGTGCGAGGCGAGAGCAATTTCTCTTGAATTGCCCAGGCTCTGGTGGCAAGATGAGATTCAATGACCGAATAATGGTACTCGAAAACATGATAAAAGCCTCGCACCTGGCGCCGGCCACTATCTGTGACTTGTGCACGGAACGCGCCACCGAATAAAGGAGATTTGAGGAAGCAACCCTCAGTTGCATCATATGCAGACGACGCCGCTATAGTGACAGCTGAGCCGCCATATACAGAGCTCATCAAAGCCGACTCTTTCTGCCAATCTTCCTCACTATCTTGAATGATACATAAAGTGTCAATCCATAGGTAGTCTATACCTAGTTTTCGAGTGATTTTGATGGCATCTGTGAAGGTAGCCGGGAGTTTCTTAGTCGGCAACATCATGAAGTAAGATATTAAAGTCGCTAAAGTAAGCTTTGGACCCTTGTAATCACCCCAGCAGTGTGATAGTGCGGCGTATCGAGGTCTTTTATGACATTCTGAACTCAGGACCAGTCGCAGAGACTTGTCGCCAACAGCAATTAGCCTAGTTGGTAGTACCCCCCCACCGGAGCCTCTGCAAAGCTCATGACTCTCAGAGCAAGTAGATAACCAATCAAATGCGATGTCAAGCACATCCGGACGTTCATCATAACAGTTGGCTTCAGAGTATTAGCCCGGTTAACAGATAAGGATGAGAGGGCCTACATGAAGGCAAAAGTATTGACGACCCAAAGCTAGTACACCCAGCAATCCCCAAATTCCATTGCGTGCAAGTTGGTCCGGGGCGATTTAACCACAAGAACTGATCTGGAGCCGATCCCCGGCGTTCAATGGACAACGAGGCCAGTGCATCAACATTGACATGGAATAAACGCGTTTCGATCTTGCGGAATATCTCCAGCAGGCTAGAGTCCTTCAAAGTTTGTAATAAGAAACAGCAAAATCCGCATTTAGCCCGTGCTGATGCCTCTAGTTCAAAAGTGCTGCAGTATCGTGTGACAGCGTGCGGCCATTTGCTATCCTGGAGCGAGTCGGGGTTTATTATCGGTGATCCTTCTAGAGTAGGATAATTGTCGAATAATTGGTGACATGCGGTGCAAAACCCCTTCACAACAGGTGTCTGTAGTGTTAACTCTCGTATGCGTTGTTCAACAAAATCTGTGTCCAGGATATCCGAGTCAAGTACACTGATGAGGTCTGAAAATTCATTGAGCAGATTGCCATCTGCCGCCATGTATTCCTCAGCCCATGTTTTCCAATCCTCATATTCGACGGCTCTGGACATGTCGCTTTCGGGATCAGAGCAGTCGGGATCGTCAGTCATCTTGGCAGACATGGGATACCAGATCGTGTTGAGCAGCGCTGTACTAGACTATGTGGTATCGGAGAACTCTCCGCAGAGGCTTCGGAAGATAGTCCCAAGGAGCGATTGCCTAATGCGACATAAGCTTCAAGAACATTTAGTCATAAAGATTAGTCGATCAAATGCTAGAAAGGACATACTCAGGTGTGCTTTGGAGGACCAGAATTGAAAGCTTATACAGAATGAAACTCAACGTCGGAATGAGGCTGTAACAATTGTACGTTTGTTCTTCATCACGTGCTGATTCAATTGAGAAGGTGTTACGAAGACCAAGAACGCTCGTTGCAAGCACCAATCAGACGTGCTCCTGCCCTGGGTGCTTTCAGGTTCTGCTTCTCAGCTCACGCGACTGTCATCCAGGTCACTGTGGACGAATCGCTGACGGCGTCCTATGATTTGTACCACAGAGGATTTATCAGGCGCAGAGAAGCTACCGTAAGCATTGCCTTCCTATGATCAGTCGGCATAGACGATGCCAAAATCGCAATAAAGAGACGGTGATTAATATATATGGCATTCATTGCATCTAAAGAAAGTGTCAAAACTATACACTCGGTTAATGTATCACAGGTCTGTTAGGAAATAAGTTGCCCATGCGACGTTTGGGTTCCTGAAGAAGACTTATGTTCTATCGCAGCTGGCAAGAGTGTTTTCCTTAATACCTCGCGCCAATACGAAAGTGTTTTCTCGCAGTCCTTCTTCTCGCCAGCTACTGATAGCACCACCGTCCATTATATCATGGACATAGCACTCTTCAAGAAGGATATAAAAAGCACAAAATGTCAACAGTCCCTCCCGCTGCCCTATCGGCTGATCTCTGGCTAGCGATCATGCATGCGCCTCAGCTGCCCTGCGCTAAGGTTACGCTGGAACTGCCCCACTGATGTTGCGCCCTCCAGGCCCTTTAGCTCCCGCGCGCATGGCTTGCTCCCTGAAATGCTTGGTGACACAACACAGTCGCAGGCGCTGGAATAAAAATCCCCAAAGATCCGGATATTTCTCCGCTGAGAACAACAACTTCTTCTGGACTTTTATTAGTGTAGGAGCCATGGCAGAAACATGCAGCGCGCCGGACGGCAGCACGAAATGGCTTACGATGACACCTGGGCAGAGCATATTCATCGTGTCCATTATCGGGTTCCTGCCACTATTTGTGCTGCTCGCGGGACCGAAGCTGGTATTTTGGTTTGGGGGCTTGATAGGAGGGTATTTGAAGAGGAAGACGGCGGGCAGGAGGGCGCAGATATTGGATCTTGTGGATAGTGAGCAGAAAGAGTGGGAGGAGAAGGGCGGGAAGGAGAAGCAGAGGAGGGATAGCGATGAGTGGGAGACGGTGGATTCGTATGCGGTTGGGACGGCGAAGAATGGGGAGAAGGCGGTTGATGCGGAGTGGGATGGGATTGTGGGGTTCTTTCATCCGTTCTGGTGGGTTACATCCTCCTATGCTGTGAGTCTGTACTGATTGTAGAGCAGTAATGCCGGTGGTGGAGGAGAACGAGTTCTTTGGGCTGCAATTAGAGCTACGCAGAAACGCTGGCCGAAAGCAAAGTGCATAGTGTATACCGGAGATCATGATGTGAACAAGGCAGCTATCATAGACCGAGTAAAGGTATGTTTCCTTCTCCCGGTCTGCCAATAAATGCTTACTGTTCTAGAATCGGTTCAATATCGCCCTCCACCCTCCAACAGTAACCTTCCTCTACCTCACAACCCGCTCCTGGGTCCTTGCCTCCTCCTGGCCACACTTCACACTCGCAGGACAGTCGATTGGTTCCCTAGTTCTAGCATGGGACGCCTTCTCACTCCTCACACCCGACATCTTCGTCGACACGATGGGCTACGCATTCTCTCTCGCTTTCTGCAAGATCCTGTTCCACGACGTCCCAACTGGCGCATACGTTCACTACCCCACTATATCCACCGACATGCTCAGCTCTCTCGATCCAACATCCACAACAGGCACACAAGGTGTCAATGCAGGCAAGGGACGCGGGGCAGCCGGAGCTGGGAAGAAGATATACTGGGAGCTATTTGCGAAATTATATTCCGTGGTTGGGACGTCGATTGATGAAGTCATGACGAATTCGAGCTGGACGCTGGCACATATCAACTCATTATGGGGATCTTGGAGGAAAGAGTATAGGAAGTCGATTCCGAGAGTCGTATATCCACCCGTTGCTGTTGAGGAGTTGGAGAAGGAGATTGAGGTTTCGGAGGCTAGTGAGAGAAAGAGAGAGAATGTGCTTTTGTATATCGCGCAGTTTCGGCCAGGTCAGTGTCCTCCCTTTTGCCATGTCCTGTGAGCTGTATGCTCTGAGTGGGCTGTTACAGCTTCAGACTTCTCATGTTTCCACTCTCGGCAGCAAATTCACGCCAGGATTATTGCTAACATCAAGCAGAGAAGAACCACTACCTGATCGTAGACGCCTTCGCCAAATTCCTAGCCACCAAATCCCCTACCACGAAGAACGCCAAATTAGTTCTCGTAGGCAGTGTACGAGATGATTCAGATTCCAAACGGGTGTACGAACTTCGACTGTTAGCCAACGAGCTGAAAATCAAAGAAAGCGTGGAATTCCACCTCGATGCCTCATGGCCTGAAATCCTGGAATGGTTACGTCGCGCCAGCGTGGGTGTGAATGGGATGTGGAATGAACATTTCGGAATTGGCGTTGTGGAATATCAGGCTGCGGGGTTGATCTCGGTTGTTCATGATAGTGGTGGGCCGAAGGGCGATATTGTTACGGAGATTGATGGGGAGCCTACTGGTGTGTTGCCATCCAACCCCAGCTCTAGACCGGAAGAGTTTGAGTAGTTTTGCACGATGTACTGACAAGCGGAATAGGATTCCACGCCACAACCGAAGATGAGTTTGCTGCCGCATTCGAGCAAGCTCTGTCACTAAAGGATAAACTGGCTATGCGGAAGCGGGCTAGGGAGTCGGCTAAGAGGTTCACGGAGGAGGAGTTTATGAAGGGTTGGATCGCCGTTATGGAGAGGTTGGTTGATTTGAGGATACGTCTTGTGAATGGTAGTACAAGTACATAAATAGATCAGGATAGAGTTGTATTTGGAGGAGATACCCCGGGAATATACTGCATATCTTGAGCATCAAGTTTCAATTGACAGAATGCTGATATCCGCGAGATATATACACTTTTATACATGGACCTAGATCCCGGGGGAACTGCATACTTCTTCACAAACCATACACTCACTTCATCTTCTGTACCCATTCGCTTGTGGCTCATGCCGTCCCTTGACACAACCCTGACTACTCAATATCCCCGCACAGCAAGACCACATGAATCCATTAGCATGGTTGTGGTCGTTGACCAGGGTCTCCGGGTTTCCATGACATTCATCGTCCCAGTCTGCCCAATGCTCGCTGTCATTATCAATCACCTTCTCTCCTTCTCGGAACTAGTCCTTGTTTTTCAAAACACTCTCCACCGAGATATCATACCTGGATGTCTCATACAATCCTCTCTCCCACTCTCATTAACATCATACCTCTCCCCACAAGTGGCACACCTTGCAAAGACAGGTATTTGGAGATCTTCTTCTGCTCGTCTCTTCTTGTTGGAACTAGACGCTCGAATGATGTTAACGGGAGCTTTGTGTTTTGTCCTTTTGCACCCCGAGTGATCGCCAAGGTTCTCGCAGCAATTCCATTGGAAGCCCTCGGAGTAATCAGGATCATCTTTGAACGAGAGTGGATCACCATGGCATTGATCGTCGTGATCGGCCCAGAAGTCGTCGTCTTCATAGAGTTCCTTTTCTCCTGGGTAGGATTCCGGGTTAGTATGTAGTTCGGAGGAAGGGGGTGAGGTGAAAATGAGAATGAGCATGGTTATCTGCTTACCTGGATGCCAGAAACAGTTTCTCGTTTTGTTGTCAGAGACATCGAATTCCTGCTCGCAATTCTCACATTTCGCATATAAAGGGACGAACTCCTCATCGCTCTCGATAATTGGTTTTAATATTTTGACTTTTCCACTCCCCTCCTCCTCTTCTTCCTCACTGCTCTCACGCTCACTATCCACATCATCCTCGGAATCACTGTCTCGATGATACCTCACCACATCCTTTCCTTTGACAAGTACCTGTTGCGTTAATAGTTCTCTCACTTCGGGAATATCCCGGGAAAACTGATGGACAAATCTTCTGAGCCGAGTGGAGTCCATGGTTTCGATTGCTTCAATGAGAGCTATGGGAACATATGCGTCAGGCGTTACATTGGGTCGGCTTCCGTTGGTGAGATTGGTGAGTGGTTGACGCGCCACGTTGGGCTGTCCAGACATTGTATCTGGTTTCCTGTGCGCTGGAGGTGCTTCGTCGGACTCTGAATCAGAGCCTGTGAGGTCGATTACTCTGGCTCTCATCTTGCATTAAACTTTGCTGCAAGTAATGGAAATATGTCTCTGTTGTATTTTACAAGTCTGATGATTTTCAAACTGAAGTGAGCGACGCGACAAAGTAAACACGCCTCCTGATCGGATCCCTGTCAATCATGTGACTCAACATCCAACCCCCACCATTGCTCGAAACGGCAATTCCAGACATCAGCTGTGCAATCTCAAGTGAAACACGATAAGACGTCTTTGGCGCAAGATATGTCGACTTGAAGCTTAAACCTTGAGTAAACATCAACCCTTGCCACTGCCTCAGATTCAACAGAGCCAAGTGCCAAAGTCGTCAGAACCCCCACTGCTGACGAAGGTCTTGGGTGCATTCAGCAAGCGACACTCTTTGAGCTGCATTAAAAGGCTTGTGCGACACTGCGCTCATCAAGTGCATCTATCTAAGTTGGCAATGGGTAAGAATAAACACATCTAATTATTGAACTAAATCTCTAACAATCTCATCACCAGCCACAATGTCCAAGATCTTGTCAAAGGTCTCGAGACAAGCTCTTGCTCTCCTGCTTCTCAGCCAAGCCGCCTCAAGCGCAACGATATCAAGAGAAGATAGCTTGGGAGCTGTAGCTAGCGAGAGTAGGATATGCAGTGAGATCGGGATTGGATTACTGCAGAGAGGGGTGAGTGATGAGAGAGTTCTGGGACTGAGCAAGGACTGGTAGTGATGGATTTGAGCTGATCATGTGATGTGGTTAGGGAAATGCTGCAGATGCGCTGGTTGGAACGACGCTGTGTGTGGGTGTGATTGGTACTGTCTAACTCTACGGATATTATATGAAGGGAAGATGAGGGCTGACATACTTCAGGAATGCAACATAGTGGTATGGGAGGAGGAGGATTCATGCTTGTTCGTGGGGCAGATGGATCATATGAGTCGATAGGTAGGTCCTTGCAATTCCTGTCAGATGGATGTTTGCTGAGCGCTTTAGATTTCAGGGAAACGGCTCCAGCGGCTGCTTTCCAAGATATGTACAAAGACAACCCGGCGGCGAGTGTGATTAGTGGATTGGCGAGCGGTATACCCGGTGATCTTCGAGGTTTAGAATATTTGCACAACAAATATGGTGTAAGTATTCCTTGCCTATATTGTCAGTGGAGTTCTGCTTAACATGTCAGGCCTTGCCATGGAGAGCAGTATGTAATCCAGCAGTCCACATTGCTCAGTACGGTTTCCCAGGTATGTGGTTTTCGAGACCAGCGCTCAAGAGGATACTGACCTTCAAAAGTGACCGAGGATCTGGTTCGTTATATGTATGAAGCCACTAAAGATGGCAATACATTCTTGACAGATGATCCTCAATGGGCGGTAGACTTTGCACCGAACGGTAATACTTCCTTTCTTACTCCTAAAGCATCACCAGCTAATGCGCCCAGGAACACTTCTTGGACTGGGAGAGACGCTCACAAGGAAAAGATATGCAAAGTTAGATCCGCATCACCTAAATCCAAGAATCGCTATCTAACTGTTCACCAGTACACTAGAAGTAGTAGCTAAATATGGTGCAAAAGCATTCTATGAAGGGGAAATTGGTACATCCCTCGGAATTTCGACTGTCAAATCTCAAGCCCTACTGACCTTCCACAGCCCAATACACCATCAATGCTCTCCAAGCCGCCAACGGCACAATGACCATGGCAGACCTCGCAAACTACCGGGTCTCCATCCGTGACCCCATCTCAATAACCTACAAAGGCTACAACCTCTACTCCTGCGGCGTCCCCAGTGGTGGATCTGTCGCACTCAGCATCCTCAAGATCATCGAAGGCTACCCTTCACCCTCCGATCTCAACCTCAGTACTCACCGCATCGACGAAGCCATGCGCTTCTCATACGCTGCGCGTGGTGAGCTCGGGGATCCAGATTTCTTCAATTATATGACTGCGTATGAAGCAGATATGTTGAGGCCGAAGACGGCGGAGAAGATTCGAGGGAAGATTGATGATGAGAGGACGAAGAATGTTACGGATTACAATCCAAAGGGGTATTCGGTGCCTGAGAATCATGGGACGTCGCATATTGTGACTTCGGATAGGTCAGGGCTTTCTATTACCTTGACATCAACGGTGAACCTCCTTTTCGGGTCACAGCTGGTGGTTCCAGAGACTGGTATGTTTTTCCCCAATTCTCACTCTCTATCTTGGCAGTGGCACTGCTTTGGACTCGATACTGATCAACGAGAATAGGCGTAATAATGAATAACGAAATGAACGACTTCTCCATCCCCGGCATCCCCAACGCATTCGGCTTCGTCCCCTCACCAATAAACTACATCGCACCCAACAAGCGGCCACTCTCATCCGTAACACCCATAATCGTCACTCACCCAAACGGCACACTCTACCTAACCATCGGAGCCGCAGGCGGCTCTCGCATCATCACTTCTACCGTTCTCGCAATATGGCATGTCTTGGAGCATAACATGACGTTACCTGAGGCGATAAGAGAGCCGACGATGCATGATCAGCTTATTCCTGCGGTGACGACGTTTGAGTACTTGTTTGATAATAGGACGGTGGAGAGTATGCGGGAGAGGGGACATAATGTTACGTGGGTGAAGCCCGGGTATTCTGCTGTGCAGGGAGTGAGGAGGTTGTGGAATGGGACGTTTGAGGCGGCGAGTGAGCCGAGGCAGTTGAACAGTGGTGGGCTGGCTGTGTAGACATACTTACCTAGATAGGGGATTACCATAGAATGTAAATATGAATGTCACAGTACGAATTTAGAGCTTTGGAGTGGACTTCAGTTATGGATAGAAGAGGTCTCGGCTACCTGGAAATGTGAGACCCCGAATCTGACCTTTCGGCACTGAAGTTTTCCAAAAATAATAGAACATTTTACAGAAAGCCAGTGTAACGATATGGTTCATGAATGAAGAAGACACAGCAAAGAAACTTCAAAATCAGCAATGCTGGATATGTTCAAGATGCCGCCGGCCTTCTCATAAATTGTAGTTACACATGAAATGCATTGACCAATCGTTCAATGCCCGTCACTACCCGCTTCCCCGCCAAAACACCCCCACCAGCCCCCACACAAGCTCCATAAAGCGGGCACTTCGGGCTTTGACCAACTCCAGCTCAAACCCCCCACTCTCCACAACCAGCATATATCCTGCAACAAAGCTATCCTTCTCCTCTTTCTCAGTATATACACTTCCCAACATGGCACAGATTCTCCGCCTAGCAGTATCCCAATCCCACACCCTCTCCACCACCACCGAAACCCTCCAAGCCCTCGAACAAACCGCCCGTCAAGCACGCTCCCAATCCGTCGACCTCATCCTCTTCCCTGAAGCCTACCTCGGCGGCTATCCTCGCACAGCGACATTCGGCGCTGCGGTCGGAGCTCGCAGACCAGAAGGCAGAGAGCAGTTCCTGCATTACTTCAAGGATGCGGTGGATCTGGGAGATACGCCTGAGGGAGCGGGGAAGAGGTGGGTGGAGAGGGAGCTGGAGGGTCCGAGGGGTGGGGGTGTGAGGGGTGATGGGACGAGGGAGGAGCTGGAGAGGATTGCGAGGGAGACGGGGGTTTTTGTTGTTACGGGGGTGGTGGAGAGGTGTGGGGGGACGCTGTATTGTGCTGTTTTGTATGTTTGTCCCAGGGAGGGGGTGTTGGGGAAGAGGAGGAAGGTTATGCCGGTATGTCTTAGATTGCGTCCCTTATGTGCAGAGATCTGTGTTTTTGGATTTTGGGATAATTTCTAATTGTTGAGTAGACAGGCAGTGAACGTTTGATTTGGGGACAGGGACAGCCGTCGTCTCTTCGGGCTGTGACGACGACTATTAAGGGCGTGAAGCTCACTTTGGCATCTGCCATCTGCTGGGAGAACTATATGCCCCTCCTCCGACAATCTCTTTACAACCAGAATGTCAATCTATACTTAGCTCCTACCGCAGATGGAAGAGATACCTGGCTACCTCTGATGAGAACGATTGCTTGTGAGGGACGATGTGTGGTGTTGAGTTCGAACCAGTGCATGACAAAGTCGAATTTACCAAATTGGATTGCAGAACATAATGGAGAACAGAGAGCTGTCAATGGGCATTCGACAAATACCCCTACACCGACACCGTCGAGATTGAGAAGGAAATCAACGTATACGGAAGATGGAAATGAAATTGTACTTCCTGAGCCGAAAGGCGTGGATGATGCTGCTGTTACAGAGAACTCTAGTGCGAATGGGTCGCCCCCAGCTCCAAGATTGAGGAGGAAGTCTACTTATACGGAGGATGGCCATGAGATTGCTCTTCCTGTACCCAAACATTCAGAGGATATCGTTGTTACGGAAAACTCCAGTGCGAATGGCCCGCCTCCAGCTTCGAGACTGAGGAGGAAGTCTACCTATACGGAGGATGGCCATGAGATCGCTCTTCCTACGCCAAAGGGTCTGGGCGGCGGACTTCAAAAATCCTGGACAAAGCCGGCTCCATCAGAGTATATATCTCATGGCGGATCATGTATTGTTTCGCCGCTTGGAGAGGTTATTGCTGGACCGTTGTGGGATGATGAGAATGGGCTTTTGACTGTTGATGTTGATTTTGAGGACTGTCTTCGTGGACGGTTGGATCTTGATGTTGGAGGGAGCTATTCGAGGTACGTTCTCGCTTCATCACTCAGGAATTACCTCAAATCCTGGGTATATTAATTGCTTCTAGGAATGATTCGTTCAAGTTGATAGTTGAAGGTTTGGATACCAGTCCACCTGTGTGATTTTGCGACTCTCAAATGCCAGCGCCAATGCCTCCAGCTGTAGCATTATGATCTTGCCAATATTTAGCGGTATAAATGAAATTGACTGACCTCTAATCATACCAATTGGGAGTGGCAGGCTTGTTGCGGGGTCAAGTATCACATGAATTCCCGGCACCTCCACTGAGAAACACGATGTCCGTCTACTTGTACCAGAGCAACAAATAACCAACTTTTATCGCAGCAGAACTTTCCGATCCAAACTTTTTTTCTCTCAGCTGATAAGGTTCCCTGTTTCCTCAACCAAAGTATTAATTTCATGGTTGCCAAGCAAAGTCATTCCCATTATCCCATACCAAGACACGACCGTGTCACGAACGCAGACCAATTGTCATGACGCGTCGGATCGTCTACGGGTCGGTTAAGCTCAAGCAGCTAGCGAAACGAAGGTAACTTAGTGTCTCTGGTAGCTCGAACTCTCGCGATGAAGAGGTCGTGATTGACGAGTATCAGAATCGTGGCTAGAGAACAAGGAAGGATGAACGGTTGACGTCAGAATTTTCATGCTTCTTTCCGCACGGTCACTAGGTGCAATATTTGATGTGACGGGAACTGTTGACTATGTGCAACTTTGAGGTGGCACAAGTGAGAAGAGCCTCTACCTAGGTACTGTTCGACTGATATCAATAGTATCCTGCTCAAGCTTCTGTCCTTTTGCTTATCTCTGGTCTTAGTACCTACTGTAGAGAATTGTCGCAATTTCAAAGACATTGCCGCTACCAAGTAGTTTAAACCACGGCGGCATATGACTGGCAGGCACAGCTGGACAGGGACTCCACATGCCACATACCGGGCTAGACCCAGGCCTTTTGCGCTGTGCTGGGATCAGTGATCTGCACGCTGCAAGCCACACCGGGGCCTCGGGGATGACGCTCTCTCGGCTCTGAAGCTGTTCGGCCTGTCGATCAACATCTGGACTTGACCAGGTTTACCACCAGTCCCAGTCCCAGTCCCAGTGTCAGTGCACACTGCACAGCATTCCATTGATTATTAGGGTCCCTTCCGTCCATGATTGTTATGCTGTTTCTGGGAAATTGTGCCTTCCCTAGTCTGAAGTTCCAGGGAACCATTTGAAGGTTAGCTACTGCCGCGAGCTTGCTTCGTTAGTCCCAGGCGAGGGCAAGAGCGATCAATTCAATCAAGGTGGGACGTACATACCGACCCGCCGGTTGTTGTTTTGTCTCAACCATCTTTGTTTTCTTTCTCTCCATCGATCGTGAAATATCCTCTGTACAGTACAACATCAACCATTAGGCAAGCGGGCTATCAATACGCGTTGAGATCGCTTACATCCTTCAAGATGGTATGTTCAATTCGCAGAAGACTCGATTGTTAATAGGAGTGGTAGAAAGTGCTGAACTGAACTGACTCCATCTCCAGGCTACGTCGAATGCCGGTTCAGGCGGCGCGACGAACTCGGAGAAGAACAGCTCCTCGCTGTCTGCGTTCCTGTCGACTCTGATCCCAGTTGGCCTCCAAGCTGCGGCCTTTGTAGGCATCTTCTTGGTGCTCAGAACGAAGCAGAAGCGCGTCTACAGACCGCGCACTTACCTGGAGACACTTCACGAGGGGTGCGGTATGCCAATTCGCTAGCAGGGACAATCACTGACTGAGTCTACAGAGAAAAGTCGCAGGACCTTCCTCCAGGGAAGTTCAACTGGATTAAGCCGTTCAGAGGCCTGGACGATGAATATGTTCTTAATCATCAATCCCTCGATGGGTACCTCTATATGCGGTTCATCAAGATGTTGGCGGTCATCTGCTTCATCGGCTGTTGTATCACTTGGCCTGTTCTCTTCCCGGTCAACGCGACTGCTGGTGGTCCTGGCAAGGAGTTTGATCTCTTATCGTTTGCGAATATTCCTGCGACTCAGAAGAACAGATATTATGCGCATGTATTCGTATCATGGGCTTTCTTCAGTGAGTGGATTCCTGTGCATTGAGTGCTTTGCTAACGCGTACAGGTGTCGTGATGTACATCATCACGCGCGAAACAATGTACTTCATCAATATCCGTCAAACCTACCTCCTTGCTCCTTTCAATGCAGCTCGCATGTCCTCGCGAACAGTCCTATTCACAGACGTGCCAGAGGAATACCGCAACCAAGAGAAGTTGGCGGCCCTTTTTGGAGGAGCAATGAAGAGATCATGGTTGGCGACCGATTGCAAGGAGTTGACCAAGAAGGTGGAAGAGCGCGACAAGGATGCGATGAAGCTCGAGAATGCCGAGATCAAGCTGGTCCAAACTGCGAACAAGAGACGTCTGAAATGGGAGAAGAAGAACGACAAGAGGAAGGATGCCGCACCTGCTGCTCCTGCTGCTCCTGGTGCCCCCGGTGCTCCTGGTGCTCCTGCTGATGGCGCTGATGCAGAAGTTGCTCTCCCAGGTGCAAGATATATGAAGGATAAGGACCGCCCAAAGCACCGCACTGGAAAGATCCCTTTGATTGGCAAGAAAGTCGATACCATCGATTGGACGCGCAGCGAACTCAGAAGACTCGTCCCGGAAGTCCAAAAGGCGCAAGAGGCTCAACAGCAGTTCAATGGAAAGCTGCTCCCAGCTGTATTCGTCGAGTTCAATACACAGCAAGCTGCCGAGGCTGCGTTCAGAAGGATGACACCCAAGAAGGAGCCGAAGATGAATCCTCGTGCGATCAGCACTACTCCCAGCCAGGTCATCTGGAAGAACCTGAGTATCAGCAAGTCGCAGAGGAGACTCAGAAAGATCGGAACTACCACTTTCATTGTTTTGATGATCGTCTTCTGGGCAATTCCCGTGGCAGTTGTGGGTGCGATCAGTAATATCAATTACTTGACTGACAGTAAGTGTTTGTATATTCGGGTGCAATGATGTGAGCTAACGATGTTTGCAGAGGTCACTTTCTTGAAATTCATCAACGATATTCCAGGTCCAGTATTAGGTGTTGTCACTGGTCTCCTGCCATCAGTCATGCTTGCCGTCCTGATGTCTCTGGTACCTGTCGTCTGCCGATGTGAGTAGACTACCAGTTCTAGTGAAGATATGCTAACATTCCAGTGATGGCCAAACTCAGCGGAGAAGTTACACTTGGAAGAATTGAGCTCAAGACTCAACACTGGTACATGGCTTTCCAAGTCGTCCAGGTCTTCCTTATCACCACCTTTGCTTCTGGAGCAGCTTCAGTTGTCACCGATATCATTAATGATCCAGCTAGTGCCACGACACTCCTTGCTGAGAACCTGCCCAAGGCGTCTAACTTCTTCATCTCTTACATCATCGTTCTAGGTCTGGGCATTGCGGCATCGGATCTTTTGAACATCGGAGCTCTGGCGATGTTGACTATCGTTGGAAAATTCTTGGACAAGTCGCCTCGCAAGATTTTCAATCGGTACATTACTCTGGCCGGTCTGGGATGGGGATCTTTGTATCCTAAGTTCGGAAATATGGGAGTCATTGGTGAGCTCACCCTATCTTCTGTTTCTCTGCCCCGGCTAACCAAATTTCAAGCACTTTCATATTCCATCATCGCTCCCCTTGTCATGGGTTTCGCCTGTGTTGGCTTTGGTCTGATCTACCTCGCCGTTCGGTACAACTCATTCTACGTATTGACAAACAATGTCGACACCAAGGGAGCTGCATACGCTCTTGCTCTCCAACAGTTGACGATCGGTGTTTACATTGGAGAGATCTGTCTCGCAGGTCTCTTTGGCATCAACAAATCATGGCCACACCTCGGTCTCATGCTTGGCTTTATACTCGTAACAGCCCTCTGGCACATTACGATGAACATGGCATTGAAGCCACAGCAAAAGTACCTCCCAGACGACATCGGCGACCAAACATCCCTCTTCATGACCAGCGACCACAAGTCCTACGATTTCAAGAAAGCCGGCGTCCCACCCACCGAAGCCACCGTCTCCGACCACAAGAAGCTCACCGCCAGAAAAGCCTCCATCTTCAGCAAAATCTTCGACCCCTCGAAATTCAAATCGCACACCAAGGTCAAATCCCTCGTACCTGACTTCCCACCACCAAACTACACGCCAGAGGAAGAAGCAGAGGCTTATTACGACCCGGTTCTAAGAAGTCCCGTTCCGAGACTGTGGATCGTGAGGGACTCAATGGGCATCTCACATAGAGAAGTCCAAGATTCGAGTGAGGTTGTGGAGATTAGTGATGATTATGCGACATTCAATGAGAAGGGGAAGGTGGTTTGGGAGTATGAGGATCAGGGCAGGTTGGAGGATGTGCCGATTTGGGAGAAGAGGATTGACTATTGATTATTATATCTCATGGGGGTTCGGAGCTTATACACTACGGCGGGGTGCGGGGTGGCGTTCACCAGGAAAGGCCCGGATGGGGAAATGGGGGTTATAAAAACGACGCTTGACGACTTCGGATGGTATACCTACTTGTGTTTGTATTTGTATCGCTTCCCGTACCGTACCGTAGAGTACGTGCTTTAACGTAGAGTAACTTAACGTACTTATGTAATGTCTGTTAACAAGACTATCCTTACTTGAACTCGGACTTTGATTTGATTTGATTTGGAAATGTCTCCTCCATACTCAGTATGTTTCGCTTAGCCGCCCCCTAGTCTGGACGTGCTTGTGGTCTTGAGAAAGAGTCCAGAGAGGTTGCTCAAGCTCGGCGTGTCGTCTGGTTGAGAGCTCCTTGGGGCCAGTACGGATAAGCAGGACTTTGGTTTGGAGGAATGGAAAGGAGCGGACAGGAAGGAGATACATGATGGAGGCTTGGAGGTTTCAAAATTGGATCTACTACGAAGAAACAGCGTGTTACCTTTCACGTCTAATTGTACACAGAGGGTCTAGAATTGTCCTTATCAGAAGACCAACTAACTACTCGGAGCTGTTGCTTGTGTAGATCAAATTTGTCTATTTGTTTACAACTCAATCAAGGGAAGCACGGAGCAAACCGGGCTAGCTGCAAGAACAGTGGGTGAAGGTGAAAAGATACCTGTTGTAATTGCGCTTCAATTCAAGATGTTTTTATTCTGTTAATTGAATATTATAACGCAGGCAATCGTAAAATTTGACTTGGAGCGAATACGCATTCTTGGACTAAACCTCGTGTTCTTCGGTTCTGTATTTCAATTGTGGTAGGATATACGTGTCCTTGAACACAGAGCACAGGTATTGAGTAAGCTCCAGCTTAAGAATTCATGAACACGGTATACACAACAAGTAATGTCATCCAGCCCACGACAGCGCTCGCACCCTGCACTGATCCCGCATTCTTCTTCTTCTTGAGCTTGTCCATGCATGGCCTAGTGATCGTTTGCCAGTCCCCCTCATTACATTACACCGCATCTTCACCAGAATCATATCAGAGACGTTCGTCGCGAGCTCCTTTGCGGACGACTGGAAGATACAGGGTACTGGCGTGATATCCTCTAGAGTAGGACACTGCCTCCCATCCTTGTAGTGTGTCTCCATGTCGGTAAGACGGATCGCTGCTGAATCCTCCGCGCTAAGTGCCGGGCAAGAGTTGAGGGTAGCTTCGATGTCAGGACGCTGGCCGCCAGGAGCTGTGCCGAACTCGATGTATTGTAATTCGAAATCGGGTGCGTTTTGCCAGCCTTTTTTCCCGTAGCCAGTTCGTGGATTATAAAATTCCTCGGTTTCGGATTCATTGGCGAAGCAGCGGTGGAAAATGCGTACATACCACTGAATGACATATGTGTCCGTAGTTCCGTTTGTCATGTTGACCATTGGGGTATAGAAGAAGTGCTGTCCTGGATTTTGGCCATTGTTGACTGACGCGAGATCACTGAAGCTAAAGCTTTCGTCCCTCCAATAGGCTAGATTTGATTTGAGTTCTCCTTGTACCAATCTGTAGACTTGATGGTCACTTTGAAGTTGAAGTCCAGAGGCCAGACAGAGTCGAGATTGTTGATCCCGAACACGAGAGGGAACCATTGAGTAGGTGCATAAACCGTGTTGTTGCGTGGAAAGATGAGGTCGAACTGCAAGTCTGAAGGAAGTATTCGTTCCGCCTTTGCGGTTGTTGCCGAAAGCAGGGTATGGAAACATGTGAAGAGCAAGACGAGGAATTTCATGGTTGATAAATTATGTATACGAAAAACCTTGAACGGAGAAAGAAAGATGGGCACTATAACATATTTGAAGGATTTGTAACTACCCGACTGATGGTTGTGTTGTCGCCAAGTCTTCCTCTCTTCGCTTCACGGCACGGTGATGTGATATTCATTGTGGGTATGTTTGGATCGCCAAGTGTCTACAGACTACATTTGGGACGTTATGCCCGTGGGGGAGCAGGGGCGCTCATCCGCCGTAATTACAGGGAACTAATAGCTTCCTATTCCAGCAAGTTCTCAGTCTTAGATTGAAGCATCTCGCGAGAACAACATCCCGTACCTGCGTCTGATGGCTGGTTGCATCTTGGCGACCACCATTTTATTTTCTGCCGCTTGGCAAGTCTTCAATGAAGGGCCCATTTCTGCTATGTGTGACATACGGTAAGCTTCAGAGATCTTACTACAGTATTGGTATTCCCAATTTGCTGCCAGGAGTGGGATCATAAAAGCTATCAGTCGCTGATCATCTGGGCTCGTGTGTCAACGCCTTGTCGTTCACATCCACGCGGGAGCTAGGGTCGCTCCCGCAACACAAACCTTAAACTTAACCTTAACCTGGGGAATGATCTTGGTTTCGGATAGGTCTGCAGCTCTCGGAGGCGTAGCAGCTACGAGTAGAATGAATAATGCTGGCGTGGTTTTGGTCATGGCAGAAAAGTAGAAGGGCACGAACCAGCCGTTCGAGGACTCCACTCTGCAGGGTAGATGCAAGTTTGCTCCACCTGCTTGGACCCGAGAAAAGAATGAGGAATAGTTTTGACAGATTCAGGCACTTACCATGCTCACGAGACATAGCCAGCCCAAAGTCATTTGATTTCTTCTTCTCTTTCGCCACTGCTCAGCGACTCTACAACGTTCCCCGGTACCAATCAATTCCTGCGTTGTGATAGGATTCCAGGCGACTGAAATGTTATGATTCGTCTCGTCTCGCGTATATCCTAGCGGCCGAGGTTTTTGCGGGTGTGCGGGTTGTGGTGTGATTTCGCAGTGGAAGTGGCGTGGTTTTTTCGGATGGTCAGATCAGTCAACCTTAAAAATGGGTTTGCGTTCTGGATCGATCTGTGTATATGTATGGGTATGTTCGGAGGCAGCCAGGCGAAAAGAGGGGGTGGAGAAAGTGGGATGGGGTTTTGGAGTTTGGGATCTGGGTGAACAAACTTCTTTCCTTTTGTTTGTTGTCGATGCCTTAAGGTTGATATTGTCGTGTGCTCTTGTATAAACTTTCTAGTTCGGGCAAATCATTGATTAGTATTTTGGGAACGATCGAATCAGATTGAATCGCATTCAATCCAAGTCAACAGCGACGCCCATACCAAATAACCCCGCTATCCAGACGCAAATCCTCCTCAGCGCAAACTACTCAGCTCACCAACCCATCCCAATCCAACCCAGAATCACACCAGAAAACCCTCCAAAATGCCCTACGCATTCCAAAACGTAATCCGCAAGCAATACACACCCGTCCCCGTGCCTCACGGCTTCATCCCCAGCACTGGCACACCAAAACCACATATCCTTTGGGTCGGATGCAGCGATAGTTTGATCCTTGAGACGGAGACGCTGGGTGTGTTGCCGGATGAGATATTCGTGCATCGGAATCTAGGAAATATCTTAAGTAATGGAGATTTGAGCAGTGAGAGTGCGGTGGACTGGTGTGTAGGATTGTTGAAGGTTTGTTTAGTTTCTTGCGTTGTCGACTTCGTGTTTTGGAGTTTTATTTTGGGATTGAGTTTGGGGGAGGGACGAAGGAGATGAGGGGAAAAGGCGAAGGAGAAAATTAGAGATACTTTGAATACTGGCTGACGTTGAGAGGGATAGGTTGATCATATTGTTATCTGTGGACATTATGATTGTGCTCTGATTGACAAGGGAGATGGTAGTGAGCTGGGAGGATGGCACAAGTAGGTCGATCCATCAGCACCTCACACCTCAGCACCTCGTTGCATTACGACAAGTAACGCAGCATAAATACATACTGACAGCAGCTTGACTCTCTAGGAACGTTACGAAACTGCATCACATGAACGAAGACCACCTCGAGAGAGTCAAGTCCAGATTAGACGACTACTGCCGCCATCGACGACTGGAGGAAGTATATGTCCTGGCGGAAGTGGGATGGTTGAAGAGGCAGGAGATTGTGAAGAAGGCTATTGAGGAGAGAGGGTTGCAAATACATGCTTTTGTGTATGATAAGGCCAAGAATGCTTGTGTCCGATTGGTGGAGGAGCAGGAGGAGAATTGAATTGAGACGCTGGTGATGGAATTGAGCAAAGTTTCTAGGCTCGCAAATTGATACCCATTAAAGCCGATGACAAACAAACAGCAGACAGTGCTACCCCATATGACTGAGAATCTGATATAAATCCAGAACGAGGGGAGGGGCGAACAGCTCCGTCCTTGATGGTCTGATGGTGTTCCATTCAGCGTGCTGGGCTAGAGCCTCGGCGCTGACAGCAGCCGGTCAAGTTTCAAGAGACGCAAAAGCACAACTTCACCATCGGAAGCCCCGCCCTCTACACTATCATATTTTCTCAAAGACTTCTGGCGCGTGCGAAAATAATGCGGCTCACCTCCACTTGAAGATATATCTGCGGGTATGGGGAGAGCCCATTCTTCATGGGGCAGAGTCGCCAAGGTTAAATCCCCAGTGCATCGACCCCGCGGCCTGGTCGTCAACGACATGCCATGCCTTCACATCACCAAAGCTACCGCCCACGACCGCCACAAGGCCAATTGGCATCTCAAAACATACATCTAATCCCTCCCTAAATCTCGTGAGCTTTCTGGATAATCGAAACCCACGGTCTTCTTCTATCGCCATCACAATGCTCTACGGCATCATCCCCCGCAATGTCGTCTCCTTCAACGCAGAAACCGACATACCAGCTCTAGATGGGAAAATAATACTAGTAACCGGCGGTACAACTACCCTCTCCTCTCCCTAGAAAGACACGTTACTGACCTCCCCAGGGAACGTCGGCCTAGGCAAACAAACAATCCTCCAACTCTCGAAACACAACCCCAAGCGCATCTACCTCGCCGCACGCACCGAGTCCAAAGCCGAAGCTGCAATCAAAGAGATCCAATCCCTCGTACCCTCCGCGCCGATCACATACATCCATTGCGATCTCACATCCTTGACTTCTGTACAGCAATGTGCACGGGAATTCACGTCGAAGGAGGAGCGGCTAGATCTCCTGTTCTTAAACGCAGGAATCATGGCTACACCACCCGGGACCACCGCCGAAGGCTATGAGATCCAATTCGGCACAAACCATATCGGGCACGCCCTCCTCACCAAACTTCTCCTCCCTACACTCGTCAAGACCGCAGCGGCGCCAGGTTCCGACGTCAGGGTTATAAGTCTCTCGTCCGTTGGACACCTGTACGCGCCGTGGAGCGGGTTATCCTTCCCGGATCTGAAGACAGATATGCGGGGTTCAACGACATGGTGTCGCTATGCGCAGTCCAAGTTGGCGAATATTCTGTTTGCGAGAGGGTTGCAGAAGAGGGTTGGGGAGAAGGGGATTAAAGCTGTTGCTGTGCATCCTGGGGTTGTGGATACGGAGTTGTATCGCTCGACTTTTAGTGGGTATGGGCCCCTGGGGCGGCTGTTGGATAAGGGCAAGAGGTTTGTGTATACGGGGGTGGAGAAGGGGGCTTTGAATCAGCTTTGGGCGGGTGTGGGGAAGGATGTTGAGGGTGGTGAGTACTATACTCCTGTTGGGGTGAGTGGGCAGGGGAGTAAGTGGAGTGTGGATGAGGGGTTGGCTGATGCGCTGTGGGAGTGGACGGAGAAGGAGCTGGTGGGGTATAAGATATGAAGATTTGAAATGTGTGGGAGATATCAAATTCTGAGTTGTGGTCCTGTTAGGATGGCTGGAAAGAGAAGTGACTGGATCATGTGTGACGTTTCAATCAAGGCCTGGCGTGATGGTTACTAGTCGTGGGTGACAGAAGATGGCTGTTGACAAGATTCAGCTGTCACAAGTTGTGCTGGTGAGAATGAGTTTCCTATCATACAGTGTCAAGCCAAGTTACGGATTTTACTTCACCCGGCCCTGCCCACCCTGCATTTATCTCGTTTCTCAACCATATACTGCTACAATCGGTCGATGCGGGACTCCCATGCACTCCTCTTCTCTGGCGGTGGAATTCTTTCTTCTTGATTTCTCTCCATTCAGCGGCGAGATTCTTGTTCACACACCGGTCTTGCCATTATTTCTAGGTTTGGTATTGCTTACTTGTCCGTATTTCCATGCTTGACTTTGGTCCTGTCTGCTTCTCGGTGTTTCTAAACTCGACCTTCGGATCTGATCACCACGTCTGAGCTGCCGGAGGGGAAACAAGAGAATCACAATGCAAGTGCAGTCATCATCTTTACAATGGTTATATCATGTTCCTTGCTCAATACACGATAATCAATTGAGGAATTCCAATTGGACTTTTGGTCTTATTCCCGGGTTCTCATGCACCTTGTCCGCCACGTTGATGACCCTGGACTCTTGGTCCCCCACCTCATCTGGTCAGATCCACCAAGTACGCCTTCGCTAGTGGCAGAGCTCTCCCTCACAAATCTCCTTTGATGGCAGCTTTAACCTAAAGAATGAAGCAGGAACATACGAAACGACATAAACGTCTTAAACCCCTCTTCCTCAAACCCCGTCGTTCTTGTCGAACCAACGCCTCCACTTTTGATCGAATCTCTGGAATAGTCAAATCCAACCTAGCCAAGCTATAAACCATATAACTGTATCCCTTGGCCCATACCTGTCGGAGAGGTATACCCTTAGGCTTCGGAAACAGAATCTCATCTGCGAAATAACAGTTTTTCTGAACTTCATCATATCGATCATCCTCATGGGGTTTGACAGTTGATGTACCTCCCCACTCGGCGCAACGCATGCCATCAGGAGGACTGACATCAAGGGCTTTGACATAGTCGTCGCCGCAAGCGAGAATGTCTAATCTATGGAGAAGAAGGTTGCGGAGTTCTTGGAGAGCTTTTCGGTCGTTGCGTATTTGGCCGGAGTCGAAGGCGTACATCTCGGTGGAGAGGCCGACATTGTCGTAGCACTCTCCAGTGTTGCCTTCTTGATACATTAATACCAGCCTGGAGATCTCGTTTCTTAATTCTAGCAAGTCCATGTCTTGTACAGCGTTGGTTCTAATCTTTTGCGTTCGGAAGTTTGGCGCTGAGGCCGTTGCTTTGCAGTTGGCGAGCTATTTTCCTTTTATTTTCGATCCTTGTTTCACAAAGCGTTTTTGTACCTAGAGCATGTTTTCATTAAAATTGTATAGGCGAGCCCTATTCAATATGGATCTGAACTGTGTAATGTTAGAATATGAGGCTAGTGAGACACTACTAAAGCTACCAGTCGTGGCATAATTAGGGTTGTCGTTCTACATTTATTACATTAGCCCAAGGTTGGCATGAGAAAGTTACACTACGGCCAGAAAATTAAAATATGTGAGTATACGGGCGTCGGGTGAAGATCGTAAGAAATAGAGGACAGTTGGAACTGTTCAACATATGCACCTCACATTTAGCAAAATAATGGCACCTTACTTACAATCACTAAACGTATCGCGGGTTTTTTATTTATACAATTTACAAGGCACTATACTGAGAGCTATCGAGGTATTGGTGCTCCAATATTCATGGATATGTTTGATAAGAATGTATCTGGCCATTGGCTATTTCCATGTTAATGGCCTGCGACCCGTTCAAGGCACAGCAAACTTGTTGGTCGTAATTTGTACTAAGCAAGATTCCCAGCTTGAATCAAACCTAATGCCGAGAACGAGAAGCAGCTAAAATACAAACTCAGAATATCCCAGCTCGGGTCACTGGCTGCACGGCTGCCCGTCCAAGGGTTTCAGTCCTAGAGCTGGAACATATCTGCCTGCGCGGACAAGAGAACCTAGTCGGTAGGTGAGGAGGTCGCGCATTTCTTGTAAGGCAGAGACGTTGTTGGGGAGCAGACCGTGATCGAAGTCCTCCAGTTTGGAATGGAGTCTGTGATTATTCCGTGTATCTGCCTGTCCGATATTGCCTTCTTCGTATATTTTCTTGAGTCTCCAGACTTCGTCCCTCAAGGACTGTATGTCCTCCTCTTTAATAGCCATTGATGTCATTGTTTTGAGTAAACTCTCATGCTCAGCGTAGTCTACTCTCCTTGTGCTGTGAGCGTCTGGGGGAGACAATGAATACAGTTTCCTGTAAATAAGATATCTGATTGGGTAAAAGGGCGAGATTGAAGGTGTCTTCTAGCACCCGAGGTTGATCCAGGTCACCGGACGAGTGTGCGTTTGTCAAAGCCGGCGTTGCGCTAGCTATTGCACTGAGGGCTCTAAATAATAGTAAGTATTATTGTAGGCAAAATGTGGATAAGGCTTTCCCTTTCTCTGGCATGTCCGCTGCTGAGGGTCGTGTTCGCCAATGAGAGATCGACCTTTGAACGAATACCTAACATGACATGATTCGACCTATCCTCACTGTATACATGACGATCTTTGACCAAGGACCGTAGCGTAAAATATAAAATGAACGACTGACTAAAGCTTGCCCAGTCTTATCCTGAGGTTGGAATCAGTATTCGAGATTTCTTTGGTAACCAACCAGCACCACAGTATCCACAAAATGAGGCTCTCGGCACTCGAATCTTAGCACCGGCACTTGAGCGATCAGGGCTCTCAGTGGCCCGTGCCGCTGTCGCCCAGGCTGCGCAGGTAGCGAATGAACGTCAGCGCGCCTTCTGAAGATATATCCATGGATGAATCATCCATGGACATGTTGAAATTGAAATGGAACTGAAAATTCTCATGTGTTTGTAATTTTGCATGCGTTTCCTGGAATGCTTGTCGTGAGTATGGATCCTTTACTTTCTTGTGAAACGCCGAAATGCGATTTCAATATGGGTTGTTTACTTTCGACAGCTTCTCTGACTGTTGGGGGGATCTGGATTGCACGCGTGCGGCGAGACCAGAAAACGCAGAGGAAAGCACTAGCATCTAGGGAATTGAGATGTGGATAAGAACAGGATGGCACTTCGCACGTGTTTCCAGTATTGAGAGGGAGTTCTTTCTCTCATTCTGATCTACATCCCAGTGCCTAAAGTCAGCTTAAGCTACACTACAATTTGTGACCGTGCGACCGTGAGCGCTAGACAGAAGGTGCTATACCTGGGACGTAAGAGAATGGGAGCGTATCACTGTTCATGCAACTAATGTTCAGAAGCGGAAAGAAAAGTGAGAGGCAAGTGACTCAACGAAGGGACAAACTACAGCCTATCGCACCTTCCTGCGAAGCACATAACGAATGTTGTGAGTAAGGCCATAAGCATGTGCAACGGCGAAAACGTGCAGGCGCAAATGGGACCAGACCAGTATTGGAGCTGGTCATGTCAGTGCCAATGACAGCTTTGCGGTGTTGCTGTTAGATCAACAGCCTAGGTCGCCGCCTGGATGCGCCCATGAAGAAACTATTATGTGATGAGCCAAACTTGACAACTATGGTTGGTTGTGCAAATATTCCCTAATCAAGTAAAGAACCATTGCGATACCTGGGCTTGAGTCTAGTGCACTAGATAACTGCGACGATCGTAGGTGTGCTATTTGTCCTTCGTCCAGGCTTGCGGAATGTCTCGAGGCCTTCACCTTGGTAACAGACAGCATGGAGGGCTCAAGTATGGTTCAGTACCAGTGACTCTGGGAGTAAGGAGCCAATGCGGTCGCTGCTTGCGAGCGTACCAGCCTGGAGGGAGGAAAGCGCCGTTGGTGCTAAGCAACCATTCGTCCAGCATCGTGCAAACTGACATTTTAGCCAAGCATCGTGAGCTCACTCTGTAATGTTGAAGACGTTTATGTAAAGTGCTTCCAAGTGCACCGTGCTAAATTAGAGCCTTCGGAACGCATACATATTGCGCCCCCTCACCTCTGATTCTTGCTTTCCTTTCTTCTCCAGACATCGTCTTTTTGATCAGTACTTCAAGTGTTCTGCCACTACCCGTAGGGTTTGCTGATATCAAACTTTCGATAATATCCATCTTCTGCTCAGTACTTCAAGTGTTCCGCCACTACCCATTGGGTTTACTGAATCCAGACTTTAGATATTTGCCTTTCTCGTCTTGTAGCACGGTACTTCAAGTGTCTCGCCACTACCCGTAGGGTTTACCGCACGCTGTGTTTCGATAGCAACCGCTTTATTAGCCACTGTCGCCCACCCAGCTCTCATCACACGACAAACTTGATCTTCACCATGAGTGTCGTCAAGTTCTTCCGCCAACTGTGCTGCCCCTGGGCCCCAGCACTTGATGAGGAGCCAAGCCCCATCGCCCCGAGAATAGCAACAACTGCGACCGCCTCGATTTCCAGCCGGCATCGCCGCGCTGAGGAGGAATACCGGCGTAGGCTCGGTGGCATTTCCGGGGTAACCCATTTCAACCGCGAGGATGAATTCGGGACCCTGAAGAGGCAGTACGAAGCCTATTTTCGGATGAAGCCAACCTCCTCTCGCCGCTGGGGCAAAGGGGCTTGGTGGACTGAGTATGAGCAGCTTCCAGCTGTCGATCCTCGGTTCCGCTGGGCATGAGCAGTAGTGTGTTGCTTGTGTCCAGTGTTCGCAAGGTACGTATGTTTCTTTTGTTGAGTGTGGAGATAGATGGGGCGACGGCACGTCTTTTCTGGGGCCCCTGCCTTAGCAACTACCCATCAGCCCACAGCGCACACTACCTTTCCTTGGTTCCATCGGGCGTTTGGTGTTCGGCGTTTTGATTTTATGCTTGTTTTGGGGTCTGCTTGGGATTTCCTTTGTTTCCGGGAGGCACTTGACGGTGGTAGACATGTCTTTTTTGCTCTCGTAGCATTGGGGTCCCCTGTCTTTGATCAATGTGTATCGAGCACGAACGTCGTTTGCCTTATCCACTTTGTATCTTTCTTTTGTTTCCGGGAGGCCTTGTCATGGCGGTGGTAGACATGTCTTTTCTGTTCTCTGAACAGAGGGGTCCCCTGTCTCTGACCAATGTGTTTCGATCACGAACGTCCCTGGCCTTATCCACTTTGTAATTTCCTATGTCTTGGGTGGCCTGCAAAGTCGAACTCTCACCTTCACGTGGTGCAGGCTGTAAACGCTCAATTGCAACTTCGCAGTCTGAGATAGCCAACGAGAGTCGCCCCCATGGTTTTCCAAGCCAAGGGGATGAAGATAGAGTTGTCTCTACATTGATTTGATATGAAGCTGGGTATGTCTCTTGTAGAGAGCCTCTGCTGGGATGGGGATCTGTGGGTATCAACGTGGGTGGACGAGGATAGGGGTGCTGAGGGAGAAAGGCACCTGTGGCCTGACTGTACATACCTATAGATAGCATCACCAAATAAACCAACCTCCATTGACGAACATCGACCTGCCCACCCACATATTCCTCGGCCAGATTTGATACTTTGCGACCGGACAGACTCCAAACTGACCCATTCATGTTTTCTATCTCTCCAAGTGCCGTCTCCATCTTGAGGTGGCCATACGTTCTCTTCGTGCATGGTCACTTCTCGCCATTCGGAACGTATCATTGCCAGGCTCACCCAACCCAATGCAGGACAATACCAAGAAGGCAACAGTAGACGGCATAACCATATGGGTGGGCGAGTTCTTTGATAGAATGAAGATGATGTTGCAAGCCTGTCGCAGTCACACATGCATATGTACTGCGCGTGCAAATGGCAGCAGTATCCAGTTGACGACGATGAATCACACCTTGAGTGAGACAATGCTGTCATGTGTCCTATAAACTGTTCGCGAGGAAGGCCAATCTCTCCTTGTGGACGATATAGAGATACAGGACTCTACGCGAGCCTTGACGGGAAGGATTAGTGTTCTACTTGAACGGCATGTGCCGATCACACAAAGAGGCAAAGTCGATATTTGATCCATGTCGATACTGAAAGATCGTTGATTAAACGTTAGTTCTACTAAATTCTCGCGCCCGCACGAGAGGCAGATTAAATACCGGATTTTAGGTAGTAGAGGGGGTTAAATTTTCAAGTTTTACTAAGCTTTCTTTCTTGTTTCCTGATTAGTCCTAAACTTTTAGAGTATAACTAATCTTCTGTCGCTCGCTTTCTTATTAGTTATAGCCTCTTACCTTACTACCTAAGGCTTATCTTATATTAGATCCGCTTAAGCTACCTAACGTCCGGACCTAAGCTATAGCTTAAGTTCCTTTATTATTTTTAATAATAATAATAATAATAATAATAATAATAATAATAATAATAATAATAATAATAATAATAATAATAATAATAATAATAATAATAATAATAATAATAATAATAATAATAATAATAATAATAATAATAATAATAATAATAATAATAATAATAATAATAATAATAATAATAATAATAATAATAATAATAATAATAATAATAATAATAATAATAATAATAATAATAATAATAATAATAATAATAATAATAATAATAATAATAATAATAATAATAATAATAATAATAATAATAATAATAATAATAATAATAATAATAATAATAATAATAATAATATAAGTGTACTTTTAAAAGGAGTGATAAAAGAAGCTATAATCAAAGTTATTAAAAGAGATTATTAGAAGGAATTATAGTTTATACAAAGAGTTATAAACAGAGTTATAAGAGTATTTATAAGAGATATTATTAAAAAAAGTTAAAAGTTATTAGAATAGTTTTAAAGACAGTTATAAGTAAAATTATAAGAGTAATTATAAGAGAAGGTATTAGTAAAAGTTATAAGAATAAGTTATTAAAATAAGTTATTAGAATAAGGTATTAGAATAAGGTATTAGAATAAGTTATTAGAAAGAAGTTATAAGTTATAAAAGTGTTATAAAAAGCGTTCTAAAAAGTAGTTTAAAGAGTATTAAAAATTATTATAAGAAGACTTATAAAAATTGTTATAAAAAGCGTTATAAAAAGTATTATAAAAAGAGTTCTAGAAAGTAGTTTTTAGAGTATTATAAAAAATAGTTTAAAGAATATTATAGAAAGAGGTATAAAAAGAGGTATAAAAAGAGGTATAAAAAGAGGTATAAAAAGAGGTATAAAAAGAGGTATAATAGGAATTATAAAAGAAATTATAAGAAGACTTATAAGAAGAGGGTTAAGAGAGGTTTTAAAGGGAGTTATAAAACAATTATAAAGAGAATTATAAAGAGAATTATAAAGAGAATTATAAAGAGAATTATAAAGAGAATTATAAAGAGAATTATAAAGAGAATTATAAAGAGAATTATAAAGAGAATTATAAAGAGAATTATAAAGAGAATTATAAAGAGAATTATAAAGAGAATTTATCACGGACTACCTAGGAGCCTAAGGACTCCTAGGTAGGAGGGGCTAGGAGACTATAAGCTTAGGGAGATACTTACTCTTAGAAGAAATCTTCTAGGAGATAAGGGCTCCTAAGAGAACTCCTCCCCTAGGATTTTATAGTACTATAATAGTTACGTATATTATATAATCTAAAGTACTATAGTTAAGGATATAAGTTCTAGTGACTAATATTATATAATAAATCCTTAGATCCCCGGATCTTATAATAAGGGAAGAGATCTAAAGATCTACAGATCTATACTAAAGAGATCTATAGAAATAGGGGTTCTATATAAGACTAGTATATCTATTATTAGATAAGAGCTTTATACTTAACTTTAAATAGTATTCTAATACTTAGTAATTATCTTTCTATTTACGTAATATACTTACCTTTTAATTATTAGAGATTAACTATAGCCTTCTGTATTTATAATAAGTAAATACTAGACTATTATACTTTAAGTACTATCTTATTAGAGGTACTAACTTATGAAGATAATATATCCTCTATTAAAAGATTATTATCGAATAATAACCCGGCTCCTACTAAGGTCTTCGATATAAAGAATATACCTAAGATCGCCGCCCCGGATTTCTATAGTAGAGACTAATCTAAACTCAGAGTATACCTTACGTAAGTTAAGCTCTATATAAGCTTTAATAGTTATTAGTTTACTATAGATACTAATAAAGTCCTTTAAGCTTTATCCTTTCTCTAAGGATCTACTTTTAATTAGATTAAGACCTTTCTCTTAGATTATATTTAAAACCGAACTAAGGATAAAAGAGTCTCTATAGTAATAACTAAGGAATTCTAAAGGATCTTTATAACTTTTAAAGGTTTTAAATATAAGATTAATTATATTTTCAGCGATATTAATTAGAACCGCACTACTAAGCAGAATATCCAGAACCTAAAGTAAGTCGGGTTAGTAACTATATATACTACTACTTTCTAATAGTTCACTAATTAGACTAGCTAGAATAATAATACTCTTTAGGTATAGTATTATAAAGGGTTAAAGAATAGAGTAAAAGATAAGATAGTAAGATTAGATACACTTACCGGTTTATAAGAACTTATCGAGATAACTATTAAGATTAACAACTGAAATTACGAGAGAGTACTTAAGAAAAAGAGCTAATACTACTCCGGAACATATATATACTAAGGAAAAGGAGGTAATAATAAGAAACTATTCTACCCTCGGGAGATAAAGCTTAATACGATATTCCGGAAGCTAAGTTACTAAGGAAAGCTATATAATAGTAGGTTATCTAAGAAAGTTATAAATAAGTAGCGAGAGAAGAAGCTATACTTTGAATATAACTTCCCGGGTTATATAGCTAAGTTTTATTAATAAAAGAAGTCGTAAATAGATAAGAAATATACTAATATAATAGGATATAGCTCTTATAATGAACTAATATAATAGCTTACTGCGGCGTATTAATATATAACTACGGATAAGCTTAAGGAGAATTATATCTATACTTAATTAAGTAATTCTAATAATAGTAAGCGAGATTCTGCGAGTATCGTAGATTAGCTTAAGTAGATTATTATTAGTACGTCTCCTAAGGACTATATATATCGAGACGACGATAGCTCTGGACTAGATAATAATATAGAGCTAATACTAAGTAATAGTAAGAAAGAAGCCTAGGAGCTAGAGTAGACTCCTAAACTAAGGCTACTTTAACCTGAACTCTTAGGACTAAAGGTAGGTGAAATTTAGGAAGTTACTTAATAGGAAGAGAGCTTATATTAGGTCAGCTGTAATACTCGCTACTAGACTAATATAACTACTAAGGTTACCTATTAAGAACTAAGCCTTATTAGCTTAGGGGGTCTACTATAAGAGGTAAAATATAAAGTAGTCTACCGGGACTATAAGCGGATTAAATAAAGAATAGCTAGTAGCTAGGAAGGATTAGCGACTTTTATATAGTACTTATTACTCTAGAATACTATTATTCTTAACGCTAGCGCGCTACTAAAAGTAGGCGAGAAATAAGAGATTATAATAGAAAACTAATATTATAAGATATAGGTCTACGTTAATAATAATAGTCGTTACTATTACGAGATATATAACTTAGTAATATATACTAAACTCAGAATAAGGCTTATATATAAAGTTAGCCTAAGCTATAGTAATCGGAGAGTATAAGAGAGTGTCCTTAATTATAGTGTATATTAGGAGTATTTCTATATACGGTAGC